TAGTGTTGTCAAAGTAAAAATGGGTCGATTGGGTTGAGTTAAGAAAGAGATTTCCTACATAAGCCCAAGTGTTTCTTAGATTATGTTACAAACTAAAATATGACAGGTTGAGGAATTTAAGTTGGCAGGAAAAGTGTACCAGATACATGTTTATTTCTTAAAGATTCAGAACCATACTCCAAATATTTTTTGGATTAACCGTAGTTAAAAATCCCCTTAAACTTTGCAGCAGCGTCGTCTTATAGAGAAACAACAACAGAACTGGAATGGGAGATTAATTAGTTTTATTTAAAAAAAAAACTTTATGGGTAGCATTTTAAAATATTGGTACGTAAGTCTTACGGTTCAATGAGAGACTGACCGCAATCATGTGGTCGCTTCAGAGTTGTTCAGGTCAGAGTGTGGACATAACGGATTTTCCCAATCACATCTGAAAATGGAAGCATTTTTAATAATGAAAACATAGGTGTTTTAGGATGAGGCAAGAGTAAAGCTGTTCTTACATCAGGAAGCATTCGGTAACAGGTACCAAGCCGTAGCTACTGGAGACCACTTTGCATGTGTTTTACCAATGCCCTTAACCGGATGAGCTCAGTCTCCTACATAAGAGGATGCAAGTGTTTGGTTCATCTGAAGTTGTGCAGTTGAGAAGTTGAAAAAATAGTACCTGACCAGGGCCGAGTTTTGATATCAATATGTTATGATAGCTCGGCGTGATAGGATTATCAGCAAGTTCAGGGAAGAACTCTTGGCTGCGGCTGAAAGTATTTATAAGTTTTTAGCTTTGAGGTTGAAAGAGATTCTTTAACCAACTCACTTTCATTTAATAGCCACATCAACTCCTTCGTTAAAACTACGACAAAAGAGAAAGAAAAACAACATTATTTCATGAGAGAAAGAAAAACAACATTCTTTCATGATAGAATGTAACATTACCTTTGTTCGTCCTTCACCCTCTGACACATTTTGCAAGGAGTTTGAAAACAATGATATTCTTTTCATTTGGCTGGTCGTTCTCTATGGTCAGAGAGAGAAACATATTAGCTGAGAGACACACACACACACACACACACATATATATATATATATATATATATATATATATATATATATATATATATATATATATATAATTGCTTACAGATAAAGAATCAAATGTCAGATATAATATCTTCTTACCAGATAAATACTTGAAGAGCTTAGGATCTGCAGACTCGTCATCAGTTTTTCTTGGGTAGTCTGCTCTTCATCTACAAAGGAAAAACATTGAAATGTATTTAATTCTTAATAAAAAAGGAATCATATAATACAGTTAACACAAAGTTGTTTCTTACGTACCTCTTCTGATTTGCTAAATCTTGTACCCACGAAAGTCATGGCACCAGATAGCTTACCAATGGTTGATTTAGCTGTAGAAGAATAGTCTTGTGCGATTTGGTGGAAGCAACCTTTGATGAAGCAGTCATGGAAGCCTTTAGCTGCTCGAAGAAAGGCTTGAGTTATGCCTTTTTTGAATACTTCTCAAGTCCTGATACGAATGACATTGTCTCTTGGAAGTCTCTTTCTCTATTTCTGTCACTGACATGGTCGATTTTGAGCTTGAGCTGGCGGTTTCAGATGGAGAGGCCTCATTCTCTTTGGCATGTGAATTCAGCAGCGCCTACATGAGTAAAGTTTTTAATTTAGGGAAAGTACGAAAGTCACTATCAACATAATGTATCCATATTAGCTCAAGCACACATATCTGAGCAACATTATCTCAGAGACCAAGCTGATTGAACTGGATGCTTTCCTCGTGAACCAACTTGAATCTAATACAGTGACAATGAGAAACCCAAACAACATTACATACTGAAGCACACGAGGGATAAGGGAATCAAACAAACCTATTTGATCGCCAAAAGACTGCACACCCGTCAACAGCATTACCCATCCGCATCTACAGTTATGTATAAAACAGAGTTATCCTCACATTTTAAACCTCATTATCAAACCTTGACACAAACCATTTATATTTAGTCCAAGAGAGTCAAACTCATTCAGGACTGTCACAAAAAAATATGTGTATGATGCCAATTCTAAAGAAAGATAGATAGCCCCTAAAAGTTTTTTTTTTTTCAACCAATTCAGAAATTTTTACGTACCTTCCAGATGCCACTATATCCCCTGTGCTTTAACTCTTCCTCCAAGTCTTGAAATTTACCAACTTCCTGATATATGCAAAGTAATATTAGATTACTAAACATATTGAAAAAGATAAACATCTTTGTCTTCATAGTCTCTCATACATAGAGAGTTGCAAGATGAAACTAAGACCTGGAGGCACATTATTTCAGCCGACCATAGGCCAAGCTCAAACACAATCTTGCTCCTCCTCCATCCCCAACTCAACACATTCCTTGGTATATGAATATGAAGATTTATCCAGTGATCATTCGCAAGGTAATCCGCCAATACGTTATACGATAGAACAACAAACTTCTCTGCAGTGGAAAAACAAAACAAAAACATATCAAAAAGACTAAAGCATAGTAACATCAACTCCTTTACCCTCTGGCACATTTTGCAAGGAGTTTGAAAACAATGGGGTTCTTTTCATTTGGCTGGTCGTTCTCTATGGTCAGAGAGAGAAAGATATTAGCTGAGAGACACACACATATATATATACATAATTGCTTACAAATAAAGAATCAAATGTCACATATAATATCTTCTTACCAGATAAATACTTGAAGAGCTTAGGATCTGCAGCAATGGGAAGAAGACCCATCTTCAGAGCAAGAATTTCATCTTGAAAAATCGATATATTGTTTGCTATAATCAGTTTTTTCAAAAGACATCGTAGGAAACTGCAGAAAGTAAAAAAAAAAAAAGCCTTTATAAAACAAAAGACTCTAAGAAGGTTATGGCCGCATGTGACTATGGAAAACTCTTTTGAAAAATATACCGGGGAGCTCTAAGTTAGTGTTTGCATGAGCTTAGAGATGGTCTCAGCTTCTGAAGATTGATAGCAGTTGAAGGCGTGAAAACTTCATCACATGCGGGAGCAGATTGAAAAGGGAAGGTGGATGGAGAAGACGATGAGTAACGCGACTCTCTGTCCAGGAACCGCTGGGAACTGGAAGAGTCTTACCTAGCAGCTAATGGGCCAACAATCAAACAACTTTTGCCTTCTGAAACCGTAGGCCCGAATGAAAACGCAGAGAGAGTAAGATGACGTGTCATAATGAAATGTTTCTATTGGTTGAATATAATAAATGACGTGGATAGCTTAAAAACTCTAGAATAAGCCCTTTTAATATAGTTAGATTTTTCAGAGATCTTTTTTGGGGGAAGTGATGATGATGATAATGTGAATCATTCATATTACTATATGATAAGATAAGGATGATAAAACCGGTCTGACTAATAAAATTGTTAAACCGGGAGTCTTTTACTAGGAATATGAACCGGTCTGATTAGAAAATGCTAAACCGAGAGAATATGATATCAATTCACGTATTCTCCATATCTATCGTCTGGTTAATTTTATGAGTATATTTTCTTTTGGTCAACTATATCTTACAACTATAGATAATTTGTCAAATATAATACAAATATACAAACCGTCTAGGATTTTTCTGATAGTTCGCTATTTGTTTTATATGTAAGTTTTGAGCATGATCTGATAGCTAAACCGGGAGACTTTGGTGAGAATATGAAATCAATTCACGTATTTTCCATATCTATCGCCTAGTTAATTTTTATATTTGTTATATTTTCTTTTGGTCAACTATATCTTACAACCATATAGAATTCGTCAAATATAATAAAAATATACAAATATAAAAAGCGTCATGGGATTTCTTTGATATTTCACTATTTGTTTTATATACAAGTTTTGAGCAATCATCTTGACGTTTATTGCTACTATCCGACGTACAAAATACTAAAAAATTAAAATATATGTTATTTATTCTACGGTTTTTCTCTATATAAATATATGTGTAATGTGTTGCAATGAAAATATATTGGCCGGCCAGCCATAATGTGTAAGCTATTAATGTGTCTACACTATCATCTTTTTTTTTTTGAATAAAAAGTGATTATACACTATCATCATTCCTTACTTCCTCTCGATTTCTTTACTTTAGACTGTCTTCGTACGAAACAAAGCACAGTAATAACTAAGAATCCAAGAATGTAAATCACTCTTAAATTATAGATTCGTCTCTTTTTCATCGTAGCTAAGTTATAGATTCCATGGTACATTATGGTTTTCTTTTTTTTTCTTGCTACAACATTGTAGTTTTCTAATAATACTTTTAAACTCTACTATCTATGATGGTGATGATGTAAAATTTTCAAGCTGTCAGAAGAAGTATTTGTTATATATATGCATGTGTGGCGTCTTAAAGAAAGGGAACAATATACATGTAGATCGGAGGCACAAAAGTATAAGACCACGAGGCATTCGAGTTTCCAAATGAACATGTGTTGGCCCACTGCTATGATTTTGCAATGTTTCAAATTCCAGGTGGTCGGTCCTTTAACATTCTTGATCAACTGATTAAGCATCCCACTAATCTAAGACTATATCCACTTTTATATCATATCTTAGTGTTAATTTACATGAAAACATGATTCATTATGTAATGGGGGTGTTGTATCATAATGTTTTGGGCTACTGTTGTCGGCATGCTATAATGTGAGTCCAAATTCAATAGTACACGTGTTTGAGTTATAGATGGAAGAAAAACAAAGATCTAGAGATATTATGTCAGATCAAATTTGGAGTTGTCAATTAGGATGCCACTGACCTTTTATGGAACATGTTTGGAGAATTTAATACTTACATTTGAATGTTATGAGTGACGTAAAGAAATACAACTACGAGTTTGAGACAATGCATCGTGGGAGAAATGAATACAGCTTTTCATTGCCAGTTATTATGTTGCATTTTTATAAGAAACTGATTATATAGTAAGACTAGTATTATGGAACTACATATATTAAAAAGTCCATATGATACTTAATGACTTAATGCAGACTTAGTCTTCCACGGAAATGTATTATATACACAATTATTGTTAATACTTAATAATTTATAAAACCATTGTCCATGTAAACAAACATTGAACTTTCATCCTTGACTTTAAAAGCTAATTTTCTTCCTCAAGTCAGGAGCATTTTTTAAGCACGAGCTCGAGTCATGAACATGACTACCTATCTTTAGGGTACAAGATTAGTTTGATTTACTGTGCCAAACTATCCAATTAGAATATAAAAATATATAAGAAAATATACCAAAACGTTTGATGATTTAGTGACAGTTCAAGATATTTAGTTCTCCCCTGCTTCATGTTCGAATTCTATATAATATAAAATGTTAATTCTGTTGAATTCTAAAAATAAATATAGATACGGTTGAGATTATAAATATAAAGTTTAAAAATATTACGATGATAAAATACAATTATTGAAATATGAGGTACACATATATTTAGCGTGAGAAAGAAGAGATTTCCTCTCCCCAAATGAAATAACCAGATGAAAGGAATTTCAAAGATTATGAAGATATAAAAAGTTTTACATGATGGAAAAATACATTAGGACATATAATGATGAAATGACCCCAAAATGGGAACACCAGAATTGGCTTTTGCTCTCTCTGTAAATGCAAAAACAAAGAGAACAAAATAAATAAAAAACACCTGGACAACTAGTACTACCTTATTATTCAAATAATAACAAAAGCTATTTCCTTGCAATGATGTTTAGTAAGTACTTTTTACATCCAAGATTTAGTCAAGATCCAAAATTCAGTACATAGACAAACAAGTACATAAAGAAAAAGAAGATAAAATAAGCAAATGTATGATAACTCATAGTTATCATACTCCAGGAAAAATCTTGTATAGTATTTTTTTTGCTTAATAGATAGATTCATGAAAACCTTATAAATTATCTTTCTAAATTATAGTCTACTAATCAGATGTGCGAATCATCATCCTAATATATCAGAAAGTAACAAGTTATTAACTCATATAGGGTAAGCTTTCACACAAATTCAAAAAAAAAACCATAAACCATCTATGGTGCAAAAAGTATTCAAACACTATAAATCACTTTGTTCCTGAAAAGAGAATAATCCTAAGATATTATTTCACTTGGGTCATCATAATATAAGATTCCAAGGGTCATAAAAGAGAATTAAAGGGTGGTAAGCGTGTTCCTCTCTGTTGTTTTGATATATCTTTATACGACAACATCATAACCAATGAGGTAACTCCACCTTCAAAGAATCACAACCGTCCTTTTTAGAATAGTTTCTTGAAAGGGAGAGATCATACGGTGGAAAATCATAGCTAATATGAGTTTTGAAAGGCGTTGACATTCTTTCTATATTTCTCTCCACTTGGCTTCTTGACAATCTATAAATATATACTCCATCTTTGGCGGTCTCTCGTCTTCGTCTTCGTTCTTTGCTGACATAACTTTGCCAGGTATGTGTTTGATGCTTGCTTATTCGTCTTTTTTTTTTCTTAGCAATATTCTTGTGAATACATCTTTAAACTGTTCGTGTTCGTAGAATAGTGAAAATAAAGCTTCCGGTGATGAAAAGTGGCTAAAATAGATGTTTCTTGATGAAATAAAACTCGTTTGAAAGTTGGTCAAGCTCTTTTTTTTTTTAAGTTTCTAAATATATTAATCGGCCCTGGAATTTTCCAAAGGTAGTTGTGATTCTCGGATTCATACTTTGAAATTAATGTTGATTTTTTTTTTGTGGAATGTCGCATATTTTTTTTTATGTAATTCTCGTTGATTTGAATACCTTAATTAGAGACTTTTGAAATTCCATAAATGAAGTTTCATTTATTTCTTTATAGGAAAGAAAATATATACTCTTTAACGCTAAGATTTGGAAATGGCATTTGGACTACTAAACACGGTGTTGGAAAAGTCAGAGACGCTCTTGGGGTCAGATCATGCATCAGTCGTGTCCATGAACTTGTTCGTGGCTCTGCTTGGTGCTTGCATCGTGCTTGGTCACTTACTCGAGGAGACTCGGTGGATGAATGAGTCAATCACCGCTCTTATCATTGTCAGTATTCTTTTTATTTGTTTTCACACACATTATTATTTTTTATTAGAACAATGCTAACATTCGATACTTAAAATCTTGTAATCACTCAGGGTTCATGTACTGGGATTGTTATCTTGCTTATTAGTGGAGGAAAAAGCTCGAGGATATTGGTGTTTAGTGAAGATCTCTTCTTCATTTATCTTCTTCCACCTATTATATTCAATGCAGGGTAAGTTTTTTTTTTTTTAAAGTCGGTTATATTCAAGTGAAGTCAGATTTTGACCTAACACATTTTATCTACAGGTTTCAGGTTAAGAAGAAGCAATTTTTCCGTAACTTCATGACCATTATGTTGTTTGGTGCTATTGGTACTCTCATTTCATTTGCTATCATTTCATTAGGTAAAAAATCTCAATCATCTTTCCTAGTTTCAATCAGTCTTATACATCTTGATGATATCTTCTGTTCTTTTTTTTTTTTTGGCTAGGTGCAATGCATTTTTTCGAGAAAATGAATATAGGAGATCTCACCATTTCGGATTATCTAGGTAAATAAACCAAAACTTGCTCTGCTTAATTGTTTGACTAATTAGCACATCGCTTAATCTACTTTGATTTGCAGCCATTGGAGCTATATTCTCTGCTACTGATTCTGTTTGCACCTTGCAAGTAAGTGTAACAAGTTTTTTATTGAATAAAATTTTACATTCATTCAAAAAAATATAATAATACCTTTCCCCTCTCTTTGTTAAAATCTAGGTGCTTAATAAAGATGATACACCTCTCTTGTATAGTCTTGTCTTTGGAGAAGGTGTAGTAAATGATGCCACATCGGTCGTGCTCTTCAACGCGATACAAAGATTCGACCTAACACACATCAATTCAACCATAGTTATGGAGTTTGCTGGAAACTTCTTTTCTCTATTCATCTTAAGCACAGCTCTTGGTGTTGCAGTAAGCTTCTTTATACTCCTCTAGTTACATTCTTGAATAAACCTGAAAAAGTTCTCATCACTCCTTTTCTTTCAGGCTGGATTGCTCAGTGCTTTCACTATCAAGAAGCTCTATTTCGGAAAGTATGTATATGTATAGTTGTTTAATTGATTAAATGAGATATAAGACATGATTATAGTCTTTATTTAGCTGTTTCTTTAATCTCTTGTTGTAGAATCAAGCACTCTACTGATCGTGAAGTTGCACTTATGATGTTAATAGCATACTTGTCATATATGTTGGCAGAGGTACAAAAAAAAATACTAAACATTTTTGCTATATGTTTTCAAGATAAAATGAAAACATGAAACATTATTTTTTGTTTCCTTTGCAGCTATTCCACTTAAGCTCTATCTTGACTGTGTTCTTCTGTGGGATTACTATGTCTCACTACACATGGCACAATGTTACAGAAAAATCAAAGGTCACTACCAAGTAAGTTTCTTTTTCTTCTCCGAGTAATTATAAAAGAAAAACTCTATTAATTTTGGTGATTTTAATTGGCTAGAATTTATTTTTTCTTGAATGTAGACACACTTTTGCTGCATTGTCATTTCTAGCTGAGATCTTTATCTTTCTTTACGTTGGGATGGACGCTCTCGATATTGAAAAATGGGACGTTGTACGTAACAGGTGAGCTTTCTATATATATAGCATGACAAAACATCAGTGTGCATTGTTTTTGTTACATACTCATGATCATATGTTAACAACTATGAACAGCCCTGGCCAGTCTATTGGAGTGAGTGCGATACTCCTTGGCCTTATCCTTCTTGGTCGTGCAGCCTTTGTGTTCCCTCTTTCGTTCTTATCGAACCTGACAAAGTCATCACCGGATGAGAAAATCGATTGGAAGAAACAAGTAACTATTTGGTGGGCTGGTCTAATGCGTGGTGCTGTGTCGATGGCTCTTGCTTATAATCAGGTATTATACGTGACCTACAAGAAACAGAGATTCAAAACAATTATTAAGATTTAATCAATGGGGTTTTAATATATTTTTCACTAACCTCTTCTCTGTTACATCATAGTTCACAACGTCAGGACACACCAAGCTTCTTGGAAACGCTATAATGATCACCAGCACCATCACTGTTGTTCTTTTCAGTACTGTGGTACGTTTTAAACGCTATTTCGTCCTGATTTAGGGATGCCAATCCGGTTTAACCGAGCCAAACCATCAGGAATTCTAAAACTGAATTAAAGAGAGTACATACCGACCCGGTTTATTTTATTTTCTAAAAATCTTAGTGTTTTCATTATCAGTTTAGGCGGCGCCCGCCTAAACACTAATCTTCTAGAAGGTGTTTAATCACCGTCTAGCAATTTTTAAAACATTGAGAAATCCAAATGTCTAGCAAATCTGAAACTGTATCAACCAAACCAAATGGTATTAAACTGAAATTCTGAACCGGAAACCGGTTTGGATACCGCCGGCTATTGCGGTTAAATAACGGTATTAGATAAACTAGTTTATATTAATTTCTTCCCTCTAAAACGTTTGTTTTTTTGTGCAGGTATTTGGATTGTTAACCAAACCGTTAGTGAAACACTTGCAGCCTCCATCAAATAAGCCCTCCACACCTACGTCATCATTCACCGAGACGCTTCTCAATCGCGATGGTGATGGCAGCTACATCGAAAACCACGAGCCTCTGCACCGTACACAGGGCCAATCAGACTACATCCTTGACCATCCGATAACTCTAGCAATGTTCTGGAACACTCCTTCTCGAGCCATTCATCATTACTGGAGGAAATTCGATAACGCGGTTATGCGTCGCACATTTGGCGGTCGTGGCGTTTCAACGGTAGTTCCTGGTTCACCTATTGATACTAGTGTTCAGCAGCTGTGGATTGAAGACGTGGAAGACAAGGAACAACACGGTGAGCCTTGATTGTTGTGACGTCATGACTATGATCTTTTTGACTTGTTGGCTCGCGTTTTTTGGAACGCAAACGCATCATGGCCTTAGATTTTTGCTGCTATATGGGCGCACTTTTTTATTTGATTTGTTTTTGGTCCCGGTTTTATTTTTGGTTTGTGGTGTGCTTTCTTTAGACCCGGTCCATTTTTTTGCGTGGTTTGAGTTTTGGCTTTTGGGTTTAATTAGCGGTTTTGTTGTAAAATTGTATTTCTCCATGTAGATATGGACTGATGTAGGTGTAACTTGTGACCGTGATCTTTTTACATACTACATATGTAATTGGCTATGCTAAGCTCATTCGAGTATCAGAGATAATATATATATACATGGTTGTTGTTTTTCATCTACTATTGAAACAAATTATGCGTAGACCGGTTTTGAGATTTGTAGGGTTTGAAACTATTACTGACATCCATCTTTAAAATCGTTTATGTATATTAACCACTAATGTTTTAAAACTAGGAGTCTACTACACGAATTTTAATCTCGTTATGTCTAAGTCTAAGACCGTTTTTTATTTATAAAAACCTTATCTAAGACCGGTTTTTTGAAATGTTTGATGCGTAAATATTTCTCATAATATTTTATAATTTATAATAATGTATATTGATTACTATGTTGATGTGCAGAGGAAGACTTCGATACATGTCTTGCCTTGCGTTTCAGGTTAATTATTTTATAGCGCTCTATGTGATTACTCTCTGGTGTATGAGGCGTGCATTGGTTGGTGTTGCTTGCAACGTTTTCACTATTGCTATGTATGTTTCTCGCTTGTCATGGTAAGCTCTCTCGTTCTAACTTTCTTGGAAATAATTTTGTTGCTTTTTTTGTTAGGTATAGTCTTTGCAGTTGTTGTGTTTTGGATGGCTTCTTATAGATTTTGTGAGCTCCCAAAATTTAGTTTCTTTCGCGGGATATAAATAAATAACTTAATGTTATGATAAGGTTTGCTTTTGAAACTAATATCTTATTTGTACGTATGTTTCTCATGAATTTCATAATTGTGTTACCACTAAAGACAAAGTCAGTGGGTAATGTGGCATGTGCAATTTGCCAAGCAATTGACTCATAAACACATTGATGTGAACATAAAGATTTGTCTTTCTATATTCCTTTCCAACAATTAGGGGTAAACAATGACCGAATATTTGTTAGTGGATCCACTTTTTTAGACTAATTAGCTTTTGGATTCGTAACCAGACAAAAAAATTATTTGTGTGGCTCTGATACCATGTTAAATTTGAGTTTATTATGAACATCAATTTAAGTGAATTTGTCATAATCCTTTATATATTACACAAAGTCCCATTAATTTTCTGATGTGGAATATATTATCCCAAATAAAGTTTTATATTTTTAGTGGATATCCAATTCGAGCATATATAAATCAACTAAAAACTATTAATATGTATTACAAATTAAGAAAATTGTTTATATTTTTATAATTTTAATAACGAAATAATCCATTTCATAAATAAAAATATTATAAAACTTAAACAAATATATAATTACAATAAATATATATACAACAGATCAGAATGGATTTTAATTATTATTTTCCAAATTGGTTGGAGACTTTTCTGTTGACGATCACCTACCCCGAACATGTATAATTATGAGAGAATATAATTTACGTTTTCTTATTGGCTGTTAGGAAAAATTATTAAATGATATCATTTTTGTTTTTTTCCCGCGCCTAAAATGTCACAACTATACATCCCTATCTAATTTGTTATTGTTTAGTGTAAAAACGTGGAGAAAAGCCTCTAAGGTCTGTTGTTTACCCGAAGTCGTTTCAACTCTTTCAATGGCTTCTTCTTCTTCTCCGGCTCATGCTCGTGTCACCACTGCTTCTCACCAACCCTTTTCATGTCCTCTCTTACCCACAAACGTCACCAACCTCCGTCTTCCGGCAGCTTGTTTCACTCTCCGCTTCAAATCAAATTTCTTATCCGCCGCACTCTCTTCCCGGCAAACCAGGAGTGTACCGGTTCCGGTAGTGTTTGATAATCGACGGCGACGTCGAAGCATGGAACCAGGCAATGTCTATGTTCGTGATTCTTTCGTTCTTTGGTTCTAATAAAGTTTGTTCTTATTTTCTCTGAAATATGTGTTTCTTGTACAGGCCCATTGAATAAATTATGGGCCCTGTGCTCAGATCATCCCCCTCCCTTTTGCAAATTATGACCCTGGTTATACACTCTTTAACAGATTAATACCCTACAATAAAACTTCTACAAATTAATAATATTGAGATTACACCAAAATTTTATTTTATTATTGATTTAGAGAGATTAATTTATCGATATACTAATTGAACCAAAAACTCAATTTGAAACTATAAAATTATATTATTTTATAAAAATATTTAGTATATATTAATTTATCGAGTATTAATTTATAGAGGTTCTACTGTACTTTAAAAAAAATATTACCAAAAAAGGTGAGTACATATTACTCTCCCTAATTGAATTCTATTCTGAGGTTTATAGTTTAGCTTTGGGGACCCTTAGTTTTGAGTAGTAAGTTGGAGCTAATGGATTGTGAAATTTTAAATAATATAAAGAAAGTAAAAATCAATTCTTTTCTAAGAGATGTTCAAAAAAAAAAAAAGCTTGAGAGACCATGAATGGTGATGATGATGCACTTAGGTGGTTTCAAATTCAATGGAAACGGAGACCAGAAGTCAAGAAACTACCAAGAATCCTAGTTTGATCTGTGCTCCAGTGATGGCGGATTCAATAGACAAGATGGTGACTGAAACTTGCAAAGCACGTGAACTAGGTGCAGATTTGGTGGAAATTCAGTTACACACTCTCAAGGAATTCAACCCTCTTGAGGATCTGAAAACAATCATAAAAAAATCTCCTCTTCCCACTATATTCACCTACAGGTTTGTGTATGTATGTGTTAAAAGCTTGGGACTACGTACTACTTGTGCTGCTGCAGTATGAGTAATGTTTTTTTTTTGTATAATGTCTGCTCTTTAGACCAAAATGGGAAGGTGATGATAATGAGCGGTTGCATGTGCTCCGTTTGGCCATGGAACTAGGAGCTGATTGCATTGATGTTGACCTTCAGGTTATCATCATCATCCTAATAAACTGAAGATGTTTTCACTCTTTTGATGCTAATTAGTTTCCTATGTATGTGTATTTAAGGTTGCAAGGGAGTTCATCAAATCTATTAAAGGAAAGAAGCCTAAAAAATTTAGAGTCATTGTTTCATCACACAACTATCAGAATACCCCTTCTGTTGAGGATCTGAGTGAACTTGCTGTAAGAATACAACAAGCTGGAGCCGACATAGTGAAAATTGTTACTACTGCTTTAGACATCACAGATGTTGCTCGCATGTTCCATTTAACTTCAAATTTTCAGGCTCCCATTATAGGACTTGTTATGGGAGAAAGAGGTCTAATGTCACGGATTCTTTGTTCCAAGTTTGGTGGATATATGACCTTTGGGACCTTGGAATCTGGAAAAGATTCTGTACCTGGTCATCAACCAACGATCAAGGAGCTTTTGGATCTTTACAACTTTAGAAGAATTGGTCCTGACACTAAAGTTTATGGAGTTATAGGCCAGCCTGTTAGTCACAGTAAATCACCTATTGTCCACAACCAAGCTTTCAAATTAATTGGTTTTAATGGAGTATATCTACACCTATTAGTTGATGATGTTGCTAGCTTTCTCAAAACATACTCATCCTCTGATTTTGCTGGATTCAGGTAAATCCATATCATGGTGAAGAATAAGTTTTTTTTCTTTTTAATTCGTTTCGTAAATTTTTTGGTACCTGCAGCTGTGCAATTCCGCACAAAGAAGCTGCATTGAAATGTTGTGATGAAGTTGATCCATTGGCAAAGGTCTAGTCAGTGGCTTATGAGATTAGAATAAATCTCCATCCTGCTTCTTCACCCTGAATGCTTATTTTTTATACAGTCTATAGGAGCTGTGAACACTATACTAAGGAGAAAAAACGATGGAAAGTTGTTTGGTTACAACACGGATTGTATTGGTTCCATTTCTGCTATTGAAGATGGTCTTCGAAGTAACTTCTATGTTCACATCATTAATCCTTTTGTTGGAGGTTTTACTCATGTAGCCGCCGTGTTTCCTTTTCTTTTTTAAGGCTCGTCAAGTGATCAGAGCAGTGTACATTGTACATCTTCTTCGCCATTAGCCGGTAAAACAGTGGTGGTTATTGGTGCTGGTGGAGCAGGGAAGGCAGTTGCTTATGGTGCAAAAGTCAAGGGCGCCAAAGTTGTTATTGCTAACCGAACTTTTGGTAAAAATATTTGCCCCTATTTTTCATCTATTTTTTGGTAGTAACGAATGATATGATTTATTATTTTTTTGTTGTGTATTTTGAAGAACGAGCACTAGAACTAGCGGAAGCAATTGGAGGGAGAGCGTTATCTCTAGAGGAATTAGATAGCTTCCATGCAGAAGAAGGCATGGTTTTGGCCAACACAACTTCTATAGGAATGCAACCAAATGTTGATGAGACACCCATTTCAAAGGTTAGCTCTCCCCTCTCTGTCATCAGCAGTGAAGGAGCCGTTATATATTCATGTAATGAACTAAAAAACCGGTCTTATAAATCTTTGATATTTCTCTAGGATGCATTGAAGCACTACGCACTAGTATTTGATGCGGTGTATACACCAAGAAACACACGACTGTTGAGGGAAGCAGAAGAATGTGGAGCAACAACAGTGTCGGGAGCAGAGATGTTTGTGAGGCAGGCTTACGAGCAGTTTGAGATTTTCACCGGTTTGCCCGGTAAGTGTTGTTGACTCATACCAACAAGCACAACCCATGTCTCTGGCTAACATGAAAGCTTAATATTTGCATTGTTGTTGCAGCTCCAAAGGAACTCTACTGGAAAATCATGTCAAAGTACTAAGACCTCTCTCACTAGTGTGTGTGGATGTCTATCTTCTTCTTCTTCCATTCCATGGAAACTAAAAGTCAATAAACTTTAGCTTGGTTCTCTGTGTATTTATATATATATAAACGATGAAAAGCTTCTTGAGTTGATTTAGATTATGAAAATTTGCAATTATCCAAAACACTTTTAAAAAAAAAATTATATAAAATCCTTGATAAATTAAGGTTGATTATTATCCGTATTATCCGTTAGTGAATGGATACCTATCGAACTATCGAACCGAACCTGATCCGAAATTTAGAAATATCCGATCAAATTCTATTTTAGCATATCTGAAATATCCAATATACAAAATAACCGATCTAAATCAATCCGGTATACCTATGCTCACCTCTGTTTCTCTTTCCGATTTATAGTTTTTCAATTTCTTCTCCTTAAATCGTCGTTTATAAAAATTTAACTGTGTAATTTCAACTACAATTAAAATTGAAGGACTGATCTGCAATTAACTAGAATAACTCATCTTTCGAAATAAACCCCAAATAGAGAAAAACAAACAAAAGAAAAAAACATAAACCAGAAAAAAGGTTAGATTGGTTTTTAGTTTCTAACCGTTTCCTCCTCTCCGCCGATCGGCTTGCTAATCCTCCGGTGAGCTCTTTCAAAATCTCTCATTTATTCTCCAAACTAAGTAACTCGCCAATTCATTCTTCTTCGGATCCTAAATCGATTTCAATTCTGAGAATTCTACTCTGTATCATAGATGGCTACTGTTCAAATTTCTTCTATTGTTTGTGTTTCGTGTAATTCTCTTATACATTTAATCGCATCTGACTTGAATTTGTACTGTAGAGAAACGTAGTAGTAGTAGTTGATACATGGCTAGGGTTTTAGGTATTCCAAATTTAAAGTTTGGAGTTTTTTTTTGTTTTTTTTGTTAACAAAACAGAGTACTTTCTCCCAAAGTTTACTCTTTTTTTTTTTTTTGCATTACGCTCCAAAAAGGTTATCACTTTTTAGTCTGATCATGTCTTTTTCTATCCAACGGGCTCTGATCACTACTACTTTTTTACCTTACCAGTTTATTTAGTGTTTGTAACACATTCATCTAACTAACAAAACCGTTATCTTTCTGTAACAGGTGGATATTGAACCAAAGGGCATTTTTTTATGATACTTTGTGTTTGAATTGATATAATGAATATCAACAAAGATGAGGCTCTAAGAGCCAAAAATTTAGCAGAAGGTTTAATGCAAAAGTCTGATTTCACTGCCGCTCGTAAGCTTGTAATCAAGGCTCACAACATGGATTCAAGTCTTGAGAATATATCTCACATGACGATGGTATGTGACGTGCACTGCGCTGCTGCGACGGAGAAGATGTTTGGTAATGAGATGGATTGGTACGGGATACTTCAGGTTGAGATGAGTGCTGATGATATTATGATCAAGAAACAGTATAGGAAGCTTGCGCTTCTTCTCCATCCGGATAAAAACAAGCTCCCTGGTGCTGAGTCTGCTTTTAAACTTATTGGTGAAGCGCAGAGGATACTTTTGGATAAAGAGAAGAGGATGCTTCATGATGTTAAACGCAGAACTTTTACGAGGCCTGTGCCTGCACCGTCTTATAGATCCCAACAGGTGCCGCAGAGTTATCGTGCGCAGCAGGCGAGTGTTAATATGAGGAATGCTTTCAACGTGTTTAGACCTCAACCCCAACCTGCTGCTTTCAGTCACCGGCCAACGTTTTGGACCTCTTGTCCGTTTTGTGGGAGCAGGTATGAGTATGGAAGGGAGCATGTGAAGAGAGAAGTTACTTGCCAGTCTTGCAAAAAACAGTTTGTTGCTTTTGAAGTCTCTTTCTCGAGTGTACCAACGGCGAAAAGGTCTTATCAGAGTACTTCTTCTTTCTCTCAGCAAGGCCAAAAGGCTTACCCTGAACCTCACAAGCGTCCAGATTATCCTGCCACAGCTTTCTCTGGAAAGGCTACGGCATCTTCTACTGCGGAAAACAATAAGGGAAAGAGGAAGAGGAATGATATAGATGAAATTAGTGAAAGCTCTGACAGTGAAAGTAGTAGCGACTCAGAAGATGATGATACTATGGCAGCAGGGGATATAGGGTCCAATGGAGGAGAGCAGCCTCGGAGGTCAGTACGTAGCAAGCGTCAGGTTTCTTATAATGAGAATTTGAGCGACGATGATGTTGACTTAGGCAATGACATTGGGGAAGGGTCCGGGAAAAGTGTAGATACTGAAAAGGAAGAAGAGGCTGAAGAGGAAAAGCAGACACATGAGGATCATCAGCACCAGTCTCCTGAAACATTACCTAATGGCATAAACCCAAAGGAGAAGATACAAGAAGAGACTTTAGATGATTGGGAGGACGAGGATGATTCGGAGGACGAGTCAAGTCTAAGAGGTGAAGAAGCAGAACCAAATGTTATCAACTGTGACGATCCTGAGTTTTCAGACTTTGATAAGTTGAGGGAGGAAGGCTGTTTTGATAAAGGTCAGGTATGGGCTTTATATGATGAAGGAGAGGGGATGCCTAGATTTTATGCTGTCATAAGAAAAGTAGTCACAAGTCCAAAATTCTCTGTAAAGTACGTATGGTTAGAGCCAGATGAAGATGAAGAGGATGAAACACGAGATTTGCCTGTGTCTGTCGGTAGGTACGTACTTGGTGATGAGGCTAAGACAAATAGCTGTGACTTATTCTCTCATTTGGTTCGAAGCAAAACAAGAAGCAATGCTCGGAACTTTACGGTGCTCCCGGGGAAAGGAGAAACGTGGGCTCTTTTCAAGAACTGGGACATGGACAACTCAGATTCTCCTCGTGAGTATGAGTTTGTTGAGATACTGTCTGATCATGCAGAGGGACCAACGATATCTGTCGGGTTCTTGTATAAAGTGGAAGAGTTTAAGTATGTTTACAGTCCAATGCCGAAGGATGAAGCAGACACTTTTGAGATTCTGCCTCATGAGTTCTTTAGGTTCTCACATAGGGTTCCGTCTTTTAGATTGAAGGGAACAGAAGGGAGAGGTGTATCTGAAGGTTGGTATGAGCTTGATCCAGCTGCTTTACCAGTACCTGGCCCGCAAAATATATCAGGAGAGGAAGCAGCAGCTCAAGAACAAGACCATCAATCTCCTCCTTCAGGATCTGACTGTTGATATCATAACCAGTTTATTCTGTTTGGGCGTACAGAATACAACTTTGTTGTTAAGCTTGATACATCTTTGTTGTTTGTAGCTAGCACTTGAGATTTCTATTTTCTTAGTTACTCAGACTTGTATCTTAATTAGCATATGCTTCAAACCACATTGTTTGTTAAGAAACTGGTATCCATTTTCACTTTGTAAAGTAGCTTTAGTTTCAATTTCTGTCATGGGATGATGTTATCAAAGATGTAACAACCATGTAAGACGATCTAACTATGTATAGCATGAGAGCATTTGGTCTAGTGGTATGATTCTCTAGTGAAGTCATTATGGACACCTACTGTTAGTATCTTCAGAAAACAGAACCATAAGCATTTTTTTTTTTATTCAGAAGAGAAGTAACAGAACACATACATTCAACTCTTTTCACCTGATACAATAGTTTTCTCTTTTCAATACTTATCATCCTCTATGATAAAGAAGACTACAGTGGGCACAAAAAGAGTGCACATATATTTACATTTGACATGTCGCTGCTGGAACAGATGAACAACTTCTTCTTTTTCCAGAATACAAGCGCAGGAAGAGTAGAGAAACCAAAGGAAAAGAGATTTCACTTTTCATACTGAATTTGAGTTTTCAGCAACACGTAGACGCCAAGCCAAGTAATTAAGGAACAAGGAGTTTAGGCACACTGCTATCCCAAAACCAAGAATCCCTGCAAATAGTATTGAATATATCGCAGGCAGTCTCACCTGAAACACAAGAGATTCAGAATATGTTTTTTTATTTCCATTTTTACCAGTAATCAGATGTAAGTGAGAGTATTGCTTACTGTAGAAAATAATAGATGAACCAACATGCCTACAAGCGCAAACTCAAGTGCTGCGTATGTCCATATGTATTCTCTGATAGCTGCAGAGAGACAGATTGTAACAACATAAGTTTCAAAGGAAAAAGCAATACTATGAAGATCTTTGAGGCAAGGGTGGTTGTGTTTACCTAGGACAATGGCAAAAACAGATGCTAAGAGGCCTAACGTTAATGAAAATGGCCCTGCTAGGTAGATAGCTTGCGTGCCCAGGTCCCGAATCTACAAAAACAAACATGTCAACAACCTTGTATCAACCGAGACATATAATTTGTATTGGTACTTACCAGTAACTGCTCTAGGAAGAAGAAGTAACAGACTGTGCTGATTAGAACTAGCACCACAAACTCTTGCCAAGCACTGCACCCAATCCATTCAGTTATCAGTTGTGTGTTATTTGGTGAAGAAAAAAAAAAAAAAAAGAATCTAGAATGTTACCTAGCGGTTTGTGACTGCATATTCTGTTGACTGCGATCACCACGTCTAATGTTTAGTTGATTAGTTGTAGGTACGCGAAGTAATATAACTGGTAGGTTCTGGACTTCTTTTCTACAGACCTCACAGTTTCTTGTTCCCTTGGTGCTAAACCACTTGATAGCACACGCTTCATGGACAAGTCTGAGATCACCTTTGCAGCTGCACTCCATTTTCATAGTATTGCCTTCTTCACACACGTCAAGACAGATCCTGCACACCGCTTCTTCTTCTGGAATTTCTTCTTCTGTTTCTTCCGTGGGAACTGGAGAGATTTGATCTGTCAAAGAAGAAGAAAAAAATCAAAAACAAGATCATAATTAGTATATGTTACATACTAATTATCTGTTAGAAACATGTACCTGCGCTTGTTTCAGACGCAACACGAGCTTCGTGGTTGTTAAAAGAAATGGAGCGGACAATCACTTTGTTTCTTCCAGGCATGGACAAAGACCTTGGCACTTGTGGATGTACAGAATCTTTCTGCAACAAAATAGAATCTCCATTTAGCTATACTATTATTGCAAGAACAGAGAAACCTTTAGTAGACCCCACCTTAGGAGGTTCACCGGACACAGTAACTGGAACCTGAGCAGATACCACAGGAGACAACTTTGCGGTCTGTCTAGATGGAAGAGACAAGCATCTTTTCCAATAAGGAGAAGTTGCTGAACCAGCAGCATTGGGCTTTTTAGCTGTTTCCATGAGGCTGGGAGATAGTAGAGAGCTTCTCTCGCTTTCAAGATGAGCTGCTACAACTTTCTTTTTCAAGCTGAGATTACGCAAGATTCCTCTTGGTGAGGATGTAGTGCCGCTTTTGAATGAACTTGTGGACTTGAGTGAACCCTTTGGGATACGGCCGCCAACAAATGGGATGGGTCTAGGGGGTATTTGTATAGAAAGATCCAAGTGTGTTCCGCTAGTTTGAGAGCTTGACACATCTTCAGTGGATTTTTCTTTCACCTGATGATCATCACCCTATATATAGTAAGTAATACATGTCAAAGTTCAGGCCTTTATCAATGCTACAACATTTTTCTTACATAAATAGATTCAATTTGAATCAGTGACATCTTTAGTCCTTCAGATCTTTAGATCATCGATAGTTGAAAGTAAAAAAAAAAAAAACATAAGCTTGGTTTCTTTTACTGACTTTTTTTAAAAGATACTAACTTTGCAATGTCACACATAAGCAAACTAGAGCTCAGACTCAAAAGAAACAATCTTTCTCCATACCCAAACTCTTAAGAGAACAGTCTAACTTCTTTTATGTATAAAACAATCCCAAGTAGCTCAGTTTTGTATGATATTTTAAAACAGACACATAAACAAAACAAAAAGGAGATTCTATGGCTCTCTACTAAGTGAATCAAATAGATCAAATCCACAGATTCCAGAGGAAATATAAAAGATCACAGATGCCATTATAAACCCTAAAACAAAATTAACAAGAAAAGCTCTGTTCTTTAAATAAACCATTAAGAGAGATTGTTAGATACATGCAAAGCTCTCAGATTTACCTTAGAATCAACAAACCCAGACTGATAAAAAGAAAAAAAAAAAAAGAGGTAATGGGTTTTTAAAGGAAGAGACAAAGATGAGGTTTTGTTATTCACCTGAGGAGAAGAAGAATCACCCACGATTATAGCAACTTCGGGTTGCTCAGCTGCTGAATCTTCTTGCTTCACCATCATCGTACCAAATATTAAACCGATGATATAAATGACTTACTATATATATTAATACGAACTCAAAAGCTCTCAGATAGAGAGAGATTGATAATAGAGAAAAGAGACAATCTATTTAATGAAATAATTCGAGGGATTTTTTATATACATTGAACGAGTGACATTATAAGGAAACTTTTTTCTGTTCACTTCTATTGCCACTGACACTCCTTTTTTATTTCCAATTTAGTAATAACTCATAAATATGTTTAAATATGAGCAAAAGAAAAGAAAAAAATAAGTATAATAAGAAAACAGAGCGAATAATATTCTTGTCGTTGATTTTGACGAAGATGACGAGGAAATTTCAACGTTATGACTTATGAGTTTCGAGAGCCCTCGTGTTCTTGTCTATTAAAATGTCGTTTTCCACGATAATTAAAAGTCATTCTCATTTCTTCCTTTCTTCTTACGCGTTTGGAAGATTTTCTAATAATGTGATTTTGGTAATTAAGTAGATTGATTTTAAGAAAATTTACCAAGAAAAAGTTAGGTTTGAAAAGTGACACTAAAAAGATACTTTTGAGAAAAAAATAGAATTTAATCTTTGAATATAAGGTTGATGAACTTTATAAGTGGCTCTTATCTTATCTATACATACTTTCAAATAATTAAATACTATAAACATTCCAAAATCAAAAGTCACGATGATTTATAAATATTCCAAATATCACAAACAACTCCAAAATATTATTCTCCAAGTTAATATCACATGCTACAATTACACATTAGAAAACAGAGTATACTATAGTTTTAGTGCGTGTAGATAGCTAAGTATATTTATGGTTTGAATTGTTAAAGTAAAGAACACTAAAACAGTTCTTAAAAGTTACCTGAATAAACTTGATTACATATTCAGTCATCAAATTATCGTTCATTATGATTGTCTCGACGGTCATCACCACCCAAGTAGAACCCACAAGCTGCTTGCTAGGAAAATAACTCATGTCGGAATCTACGGTTTCTTCTGCAATATGAAACAAGACAAGTGTGTTTTGATGTCTATTGACCGACAACAAACAAATTTCCATGTCTTTTTAAAATTGTAATATGAAAATTGTGTTCAAACACGTTTCCGATGGAAACGATGATATATGCTTAATATAGTCTTTGTAATCTAACGATTTAATCTATTTGGTTGAAATCAATGATCGATGATGATGTTTTTGTTGATGTTAGAGTAAATGTGTGGTCCATGACGACAAATTCAGCCTACTAGTCCAGTTTATATAGGATACCATGTCACATTCAAGTGTTTCAATTAAAAAAAAAAAAAACATGTCACATTCACAAAATCATTTCATTTTTACTGCTAGTCAATGAGTTATGTGGTGGGCTAAGCCAAGTTGTAAACAACCTCTAGTGAGAGAGAATCGAACAAAACATAGTCAAGATTAAGACATAACAATAAGAGAACCGATTCATATCTTTTTGGTTAGTTATTTAAATTTTACTTGCCAATATACTACTATACAGTTAATCTCAAGCATCAAACCATTATTCCTAAAAACAAAATATAATAGTAACTAAGGATTCTACACACATCATCCAATCTTGGTGTTTGGCTATGATGATTAAGAGTTTACTCACTTTACACCCAAATTAAAAGTGACAGAAAGCAAATTAGGTAAAACGATGCATTTAATATTTTTGTTATGATCGAAGTCGTAGGAGGGAAACATCTTTTCCTACTCCTATTCCATTTCCATCACAATCAGTTACCAAACACAAATAAAAGAGAGTTGTGACTGGTCAGATCGTGAATGCTTAAAAATAAAATATGATTATATAACCACCGACCCAGGTGAAGTGTCCATTTCAATCATCAAAATGGAATGGTTGATTAGGATCAATCCTGAGTATGGATTTAGGCTATCTGAATAGCCGTTTATGATTTGCCTTGTTAGGCCAAACATTTCAGATGATTAAGTATTAGGCTTCTTTAAAAGATTCGTAGAAAAGGAATCCAAAGGTGTCCAATTGTTAGGCATTTGTTGGTTCATCATTTAGGTAGCCACAAGAGTGAATGAATTAGGAAAGACATAGGAAGCTCATAAGGTTAGCTTGGTTGGTAAAAAACTATCAACTCAAATTCTTGCTATAGCTTGCTGTTCATCTGCAAGCGCCATTGTCCTTTAACGGAAACGAGTGCATTATTCTATGTCTAACAAGAAGTTTAAGCCCACACTCACTGTTGCATTGTTGCTACATATTTGCTACTGCGATCTTTGCTGCGAGCTACGCGGTCTTAGCCCAATTTACCAATAATGTCATTTAAATCAGTCCGATGACATTTAATTAAAATCCGGATCAAACCAAGGATCAATATATAACCAATTCACTAAACCAGACATTTTGAAATTGTCACCAATAGCACAAGGTCAAAAATGAAAAAAAAAAAAGAATTGATATTAGTCCCATTCTTAAAGAGAAACAGTTCTACATATTACAACTCTTGAATAAGTCTAGAGGAAACATTGGTTATCACCCTACAATTAGGTCTACTAAAAGATAACATTTTAAGCCAAAGACAGCTATTCTACTCCACTTGGATACTTGTTGATCACAACTCACAAGCCTGATTACAAGATCAATCTGCAATTCAGTTCACAACAACAAAAAATAAGAGACTAAATTTACAAAAAAAACTTAAGTTTAGGTGTAAGGTTTTTATTTAGAGGAAATCTTTGGATGTTGGAGTTGCCCTGCAAAACATGGCATGATATTTCCCTTGCCAAACCTTCCTCTCCGTTTTTACTTGATACTCCACAAGCTCTTCCGCCGGAGACTCTCTAGCCGTGAAAGTGATGTACAACTTGTATCCGTTCACCCTCGTCAGATTAGCCCTCACAATTGATTCACATGTCACACTTGTTTCCTGACAAAAAAAAAAAGAGTATGATAAAATGTAGGCAAAATGTGTCACATAATTAAACATGTGAGAGTATAGTATTAACAAACCTTGATGTTATTGTATTTTTCAAGAGCCGAATCTACCAGGTTTTGCATGTGCTCACGGCCTGTAAGCCCAGTACCATAGAAGCGCACATCAAGATCAACCTTAGAGAAGAAGATACTTTTCCCAGGGTAGGTTTCTCCATCCACGTGGAAACCCTAAACATGATAACTTCAGGATTCATAAATGTTGTATGTGATTAATTTTCATAGAAAGATGTGATACTAGAAAAGTATAACCTTGCTAGGGTACATCTTTGGTCTATACAGACGCATCAGTTGAACTTCCTCTTCACTGGGACACAACATAATTGGGGGTTGGTACTCGGATTCATCATCATCAAAGCTATCCACGTCCCATTCTTGGTCGCTTCCACGGCTAGATGCATTACTGTCAGTGGAAGAATCCGTGGATATACAATCCTCGTACCTGGGCACGTGTATAACTGGAGAAAATAAAAACAATTTGAGATTAAACAATGTTTAGTGAAAGATGTTGAGAACTGATAAACTAGTAACTACATACCTTTTGGTTTAGGAGTAGGCCTGCAGAAGAGGGCGTGGTCTCGTTTTTGCCAGGGCATCTTTTCAGTTTTAGCTTGATATTCAACAAGATCTCCATCTGGAGTCTCTCTGGCCATGAATGTGATGTAGGATTTGAGTGAACATGAGATAGTGCAGATAACAGCCCTCACAATACATGCACATGCAAGAGACAACCCCTGTTGACAAGAAAGAGCAAATGCAATTAGAATTGTATCACAAAAAAGAAGAAGATTGTTGTATCATTATAAAGGCTACAAACGTTGATTTTGTTGTATTTGTTTACGGTCACATCAACGTTGTTTTGCATGTAGGCTCGCCCTGTAAGACCATTCCTAAAAGGTTCATCAAGATTAATAGGATAGAGTTCTCGGAAGGCTACTCGCCCAGAATAGTTTTCTATATCAACATTGAAACCCTAAAGAAAACATAAATTTCAAGATCAAAATATATTTATAATTAGTTGTATCCAAGTTTGTATATTTAAATCAATAAGACACACAAGAAGAAGAAGGTATACATTGCTCTCGTACATCTGAATCCTGTATCGACGCATTTTTTGAGCTTCCTCATCGTCTGGCTCGATCTTCTTAGTGGGATTGTATACGTGTCCGTCCTCGAAGCTGTCCTCGTCCCATTCTTGGAACCCCGCACGGCTTGACACGTCGCTGTCTCCGTCTATGTCCTCCCCATCCCGGCTCTCTCCGCTGCTCCCTGCGTCATCAACTTCTTCGATTTCATCCGCGTTGCGCTTCCTCGGAACCGTTAATTGTTGATTCTCCTCGGAGATCTCCATCATATGATCATCTTCCCCGTCGCTATCCATGTTAACCCTAGATCGAACCCTATCCATGTGATGTGTTGTTACTCCTTACTTCGACTTATTTATTGTAATGAAATAAAATCACCGTTTCAAACTCCTTAGTAAGAGAGAATCGAACAAAACGCAGCCAAGATTAAGACATAACAATAAGAGAACTGATTCATATCATTTTTTTTGGTTATTCAAATTTTACGGGCCAATACTACTATACAGTTAAATTCTAGCATCAAACTATTATTACAAAAAAAACAAAATATAACGGTAATTAAGAATTCTACATATATTTTCCAGCTTTGGTGTTTTGTCTATGAGTTTAGTTGCCTTACAGTACGTCTAGTAAATTAGACAAAACGATAACCCTGTTTGATATTAGTATTTTGTTTGAATGATCGAACTCGTATCATGCTCCTATTCTATCACAATCAGTTACCAAACACCAAAATAGTGAGTCGAGACTGGTCAAATAGTCATATGCTTAAATATTGATATGATATAACCACCGACCCAAGAAAAGTGTCATTTTCATCATCAAAATGGAGCTTAATTCGATTTGAAGTCACGATGGTTGATTAGGATCAATCCCGATTACCAATTTAGGCTATCTAAATAGCCGTTTATGATTTGCCTTGTTAGGCCAAACAATTCAGAGGCTTCTTACAATATTTGAAAGTACTTCAAAATCTCCAATTGTTATGCATTTGTTGGTTCCTCATTTAGGTAGCCACACGAGTGAATGGATTAGGAAAGACATAGGAAGCTCATAGATTCAAGCTGTATTATATTGGGTTAGATAAATACAGTAGTGGTTTAATCTGGTTTAGTGTAAACGTGAATTGATTTGGTTTACTTTGGTATATAACTATATTTATATATATATACCAACTTGTATCTTCTATTCTATTAAAATAGAGTCATTCTTTTTATTTACTGATACAAGTTGTCATTTAAATTTGGACTATTTCTAGAGTGTTATAAATAATACAAGTCATATAGTTGATTGAACCGCATTACTTAAATTAAACCGATGGTTATTTATGGGATATAGTCCTCGGCTTATTTAGAACAAATTATATGGTTTGGTTTTTGGGCTTAGTATTAAGGAAAAACTCCAAAAAACATTGAATAAACTTTTCAACTTAATGGATCAAAAAATCAGTTATTATTTTTAAGCTCAAAAGGTATTTAATATTTTTAAACAAAACAAGATTGTCTATTATTAATTATTTATTTAAATCATGTACTTTAAAACATGTTAATGTATTTTTTTATTTTAAATAACAATCACTTTGTTTTGATAAATTTCAAAGGTAACTTTTAAATAATTTATTGTTTTATTTCTCTTAAATAATTTACTGATTTTAAAAAAATGTAAAGCAAAACCAAAATCCAAAACCAAAATCTGAAAAACAGATTATATTTTTTTGCTTTTATTTATTTACAAAATAAACTATTTCAAATTTCTTTAAAAAAAATTTTGTCATCTTTTCAGTTTTAAATTAGATGTTCGATTATTTGAGATTTGTTTGTTAGTAATATCAGTTCACACTAACTCAGCGGGTCTAAAAATTAAAAACCCAAACCAAAAGCTGAAAATCAAAAATAGAAACTTAAAAACTAAAAACCAAAATCTAAAACAAAATCTAAAATAAAAACTAATGAATAATAATCATAACCACAAATTTTGGTGAACTGATTTTATCCCAAAACATTCTTTAAATTAAGACAAAACTCAATTACATAAATTTTGGTGAACTGGTTTAACGACCACCACAAAACAAAAATAGGGGTATTCAAGCTGCTAACGGTACCAAATGTTAATAATGTTGCACGAGGACAAGGACGCACGCCGATTCCGCCACCTCTACTTCTGACGGTGAAGCTGACCGAGGATGAAGAATCCTGGATATCCGGCGACGCTCTTTCTTATACGCCAGTCACGCACTCTGTGTGCATAAACGGTGTTCTTCACTTCGGAGCTCGGTCCTTTGTCGATCCCAACAAATATAAGGTTGTGACATTCAATTTGGGTTCGAAAGGTTTGGTCTAATTGACCTACCTGACGAACTCCAAATGTATCCAGTTCTTGATAGGTTGGTTAAGTATCGACGAAAAGCCTGTTTGGTGAAAAATGACGGCTGTTTCGACTTTCCCGATGGAAAAAGAGTATATGGATTTTTGGTCAAAGAGGAGAATGAAGAGAAACTGACTCCACTATTAGTTCAAATTCGTGAGTGGGGAAAGGTTGTCGGAATCTGGCCTTTGATTTCACAGGTACAACTGAAGAGGATGACGAGCTTGTGTTCGCGGCATCTTCTGTTGGGATTGATGGATACCATTACCTTATCTACTTCAACTCGGAAACTGAGCTCCTGAGGAAGATCAAGATCGACGGAGGTTCATCTGGAGACGTTCTGACAGAGATTGATCACTTCGATTCGCTGCTTCTTACTTGAGTTTCGATAAATACTAATAATACTTAAAATAGTGAAGATAAGCATATAAACCAAAGACAACCAAAGCATAGGAACCCCGCCCCGCGCGCAAAGCGAATGGGCGCTTGCTTCCACTTTGAATACTTATAAATAAGACAATCTGGACATATATATATATATATATATATATATATATATATATATATAATATAAAAGATCACATTACTTTTCACTACTTCAACTGCATAAAATTTTTACTACTAAATTATTTTATGTTTAGATAGAAAATATAAGTAAAAATTAATAAAAACATAAGTAAAACTTAATAAAATATAAGAAAACTATATAAAATTTAAGCAAACTATTATTGATTAAATGTGAGATTTGGTATTAACAATTCATTTTAATAAATTATGATTGATTATGATCAAAATATTGGTGATAATATTAACAAATATTGCTATACAATTAACTTTATAAAATTATCTTTGATAATTATTAATACAGCTGAATTAGTGAAAAAATATAATTAAGTTGGTGTAAAAATATAATACATATTCAAATTTTACAGGCCAATACTATACAGTTTAACTCTAGTATTAAACCATTATCCCTAACTAGAAGTGCATAGTTTTTTTGTGAATAGTTTTATTTTGTGTTGTCCTTTGTGAATAGTTAACGGAAACGAGTGCATTATTCTCTCTAACTAGAAGTTTAAGCCCACACTCATTGTTGCATTGTTGCTACAAGCCGTCTCAGCCCAAATTACCAATAATGTCGTTTAGACCAGCCCGATGACATTTAATTCATCCGGATCAAACGGAGGATCAAAATATAACCGATTCACTGAACCAGACATTTTGCAACTGTCACCAATAGCACAAGGTCAAAAATGAAAAAGAACTGATATTAGTACCATTTTCAAAGAGAAACAGTTCTACATATTACAACTCTTGAAGAAGTCTAGAGGAAACATTAGTTGATCCCTACAATAATGTCTATTAAAAGATAAAAGATGCATTTTAAACCAAAGATAGCTCTTCTACTCCACTTGGAAACTTGTTATCACAAGTCACTACTCACAAGCTCAATCTGCAATTCACAGTTCACAACAACAAAAAGTCAAATAAAAGAGACCAAAAAAAGGTACGTTTGGTTGTAAGGTTTTTATGATAGAGGAAACCTTTGGATTTTGGAGTCGGCCTGCAAAACATGGCATGATATTTCCCTTGCCAGAATTTCCTCTCCGTTTTTACTTGATACTCCACAACCTCTCCCTCCAGAGACTCTCTAGCCATGAAAGTGATGTATAGTTTGTATCCATTCACTCTCGTCAGATTAGCCCGCACAATCGATTCACATGTCACACTTGTGTTCTAACAAAAACCAAAAAAAGAGTATGACAAGAATACATGCAATTGTGTCAAGTAGGTGATTAAACATGTGAGAGTATAGTATTAACAAACCTTGATGTTGTTGTATTTTTCAAGAGCCGAATCTACCAGGTTTTGCATGTGCTCACGGCCTGTAAGCCCAGCACCATAGAAGCGTACATCAAGATCAACCTTAGAGAAGAAGATACTTTCCCCAGGGTAGGCTTCTCCATCCACGTAGAAACCCTACACACAATGATAACTTCAGGATCCATATATAGATGTTGAATAGTTCTCCTCACAGTGATTAATTTTCATAGAAAGATGTATTAATAGAATCTAATCTGAAGTATAATAACCTTGCTAGGGTAGATATTTTGTCTATACAGACGCATTCGTTCAACTTCCTCTTCCATGGGACACATCCTAATTGGGAGTTTGAACTCTTCATCATCAAAGCTATCTATGTCCCATGGTTGGTCGCTTCCGCGGCTAGATGCATTACTGTCAGTGGAAGAATCCGTGGATATACAATCCTCGTAGCTGGGCACGTGTATAACTGGAGGAAAAAAAAACAAATTTGAGATCAAACAATGCTTAATGAAAGATGTTGAGAACTGATAGCAGCTAGTATCTATATACCTTTTGGCTTAGGAGTAGGCCTGCAGAAGAGGGCGTGGTCTCGTTTTTGCCAGGGCATCTTTTCTGTTTTAGCTTGATATTCAACAAGATCTCCATCTGGAGTCTCTCTGGCCATGAAGGTGATGTAGGATTTGAGTGAACGGGAGATAGTGCAGATAACAGCCCTCACAATATATGCGCATGTAAGAGACAACCCCTGTTGACAAGAAAAAGCAAATGCAATAAGAATTGTATCACAAATAAAGATTTGTTTCAATAAAGGGGATAAGCTACAAACGTTGATTTTGTTGTATTTTTTTAAGGTCAAATCAACGTTGTTTTGCATGTAGGCTCGCCCTGTAAGACCATTCCTAAAAGGTTCATCAAGATCAATAGGATAGAGTTCTCGGAAGGATACTCTCCCTGGATAGTTTTCTATATCCACGTTGAAGCCCTAAACAACCACAAATTTCAAGATAAAAAAATATTTATAATTAGATGTATCCAAGTTTGTATATTGAAGTCAATAAGAGACACAAGAAGAAGGTGTATACATTGCTCTCGTACATCTGAATCCTGTATCGACGCATTTTTTGAGCTTCCTCATCGTCTGGCTCGATCTTCTTAGTGGGTTTGAATACGTGTCCGTCCTCGAAGCTGTCCTCGTCCCATTCTTGGAACCCCGCACGGCTTGACACGTCGCTGTCGCCGTCTCCGTCCCGGCTCTCTCCTTCTTCACCAACATCTTCGATTTCATCCGCCTTGCGCTTCCCCAGAACCGTTACTTGTTGATTCTCCTCGGAGATCTCCATCATGTGATCATCTTCCCCGCCGCAATCCATATTAACCCTAGATTGAGCCCTATCACTTTTTAGTTTTTATTGCCAATGAGCCAATCCATGTTGTAATGAAATAAAGTGTTATAATAACGCTTCTGTGAATAACGTAACATATACGTAAAAGACTGAAAACGAGCACATTTATAGACCTAAATGAAATAGAGAGTCTACTGATAGAAAAAAAAAAAAAAAGAACTAATTGATTCAAGAACAAGAGACGGTGTCATCAAGGAACAAACAATTCATCAGAAACAAGAAAATTACAATCACAAAACTCGATCAAATTTAAAAGAGAAACATATTGGTACAGCCGTACAGTCATACAGACAGAAGATAGTTTAAACTCTTTAACAAGCTTTATTACAGCTACGCCTGCAGTTCCAGGGACTAAATGAGTTAAGAAAGACATATGAAGCTATATAGGGTTAGCTTGCTAGGTTAGAAACTATCAACTCAAACTCTAGCTATAGCCTGCTGCTCGACTTTTACTATAGAAAACATGAGTGATATCAAACTGTACCGGGTTAGATAAAGTTTGGTTTAATCTGGTTTAGTGTAAATATGAATTGGTTTGGTTTACTTTGGTATATACTTTATACACTTGTTTTTTTCTGTCTTGAAGTATATACTATACTATATACACCAACTTGTATAAGTAGCTTAAAAACTGAATATGCAACTTATAAATTGGATAATTCATTTATTTTGGATAATATCCAATTAACATCAGTTATATTGATTATTTCAATATGAAACAACTAATTTTGAATTTGTAAATTATATCTAGCTATTTTAGTTTTAAAAAAAAATCCAAATCTAATAATATTTTTAGATATTTTATTTTTCAAATCTAAATATAATTAACAATGTTGATTAGTTGTCTTCCCAATTTTTTTTTTTTATAAAAAAAACGTTTGAGTATTTATTTATAGTTATATAATTTGGCTGGATTTGATTCTGGAATTGCATGAAGCTTATTTTTCCTTTTTTTTTGGAAATTATTTTTATGGGAAAATAACATATAGGAAATGTTGATATGGATGGAATCACTTTTATTTTTGAGAAGTTAATGGAAGCATAAAAAGGTAAAGAGTATAATGAAAGTTAGTTTCAAAAGAAAAAAAACATACTGAAAGTTTGTATCGTTTTCATGATTATACCTTTCAATAACATTTCCCATGTATACTATAATGATTTGCTTTGAGCTTCGCCTTTTGAGTCCAATTTACAAATTATGTCAATCAATTAAACTAATGAAATTTACTTAACCAAGATCAAAGATAACAAATTCACGATTCGATGATTTTGCATATGTATGACACCGATAACACAATGCCAAAAACGAAACAAATCGTGATTGGTAGCGTTTTCAAAGTAAACCTATTATACATATTACTAGATTAATAAAGACATAATCTTGATAAGCGTTTTTCTTAAAAAATGTTGGTTCAAAAATAATAATAATCGTCGATCTCGTCAATTGGGTCTAATAAAAGACCAATACCAATTTTAAACCATGGATAACTATTCTCCATTTGACTGCTTGTTTCATCCCAACTCACAAACTTGATTATTACAAAAATCTTCAATTCATAAGTTCACAACAAAACGATCACCGCAAACTCGTTTTCACAAAAAACTACAATAATTTAGTTTTCATTTGTAATTTTGTTATTTAAAATGTTTAGACAGTCATAGTTTAACTACACACTGAAACATGAATTGCTAGTTACTAAATCGTAGATAATATATACAATATGTATGCCTTCAAATTTACGATATTGTTATAACTATAAATAGCTACAGATTAGGATGTGATCTATTATGGTTAAAATACCAAAATAAGGTTTCACACTAATTGTAGATACTGGTCACACATATCATTATGACTATGTTGTGAAAAGGAAACCATAAATAACAAATAACATTTATAAACCATATCATCGAACTCAAAGTTACAAAACTATTAGTCGAATAACCACAAATTTGTCAATAGTTTTTTTCTTGGAATGTACAATGTAAGCACACTTTTGGTTGGAAGTTGTATAACATTCTAAAATATTGGAGGTTGATTTATGGTTTAATATGACCAATGATAGAGCAATGAGAAGGTAAAATAGTTTGATACAATAGCTTTAGTTATGTAGACGATATTTTTTTTCTTCGAATTAACCTTCTTTTCTCTTTTAGAAAATCTTAACCATCTGTTGGGCAATGGTTTTGGCTGGACTGATAGTGGACATCATCGACACAAATTCCAAATTTGATGCATTCAGAGACGTAAGTGGTTAAATGTTAATTAATGATGTTGTTTTGAGATGCATAAAATACATTACTAATTTTAGTTCTACTATTGTTACTTAGATCTCATGGATTTTATAGAAACATGATTGTTCCACCTAGTGCTGATGGCATGGTAGTTAGACATGCTTTGATGGTAATGGTAGGCAGACACAACAAAGACGAACAAGACTTTTTAATTGTGTAGAATTCATGGGATAAGAGCTAAGGTGTCAATGGATATGTGAGGCTTATAATTGCTGATCACATGCGTTGTTTAGCATTTTACCCATTTATGTAGGAGATGTTCATACCAGGTGAACTAGGTTATGAGTTTGGATTTGACACTGTCGAGTGATGAGATGGAGTTTTGTTTTTCTTTATTTTTCTTTATCTAAACACATGAGTATGTTTCATTTAAAATACTCATAATCAAAACCATGAAACTATGCATGTGATTTTAGTGATGTTATCTTAATGTTAGTAATACGTGTTCAAGATTAAATTGCTACAATATTATACAATACGTTTTATTTTATTGTTATTTTAAACAGAAATTGCACCCAATAGTTTAAAAAAAAAATTAAAACTCATAAAGTAACCAAAATATTATTTTTTCTCCTATTTTTTTTCTTTCTATCTCCTAAAAAGTAATGAGCTTATTTGTGAAATAGCCATAAAATAAAGAAAATTAGATTTTTAGAAAGAGGGAGGAGAGAGATAGGAAGAGGAATGTGGAGAGAGGGGAAGATTTTAGTTAGATAGTTAATTAAGTTTTCCTCTTCCTATCTCTCTTCTCCCTCTTTCTAAAAATCTTATTTTTCTTTATTTTAACTATCTAACTAAAATTCTCCTCTCTCTCCACATTCCTCTTCCTATCTCTCTCCTCCCTCTTTCTAAAAATCTAATTTTTCTTTATTTTATGGCTATTTCACAAATAAGCCTATAAAGGATAAACAGACAAAATAACTAATGACCCAACACAAGGCCTAATTAGCATAAAAGCCCAAGAGGCCCAACTATAAATAACATCTTGCGCCATAAGCACATTAAGTAGAAACCGTTGAGTAGATGATCATCCACCACGGTCGACAAACGATTGACAAACGATTGATGAGACACACGTCAAGAAGATAACCAACCACTTTCTTCCTCCGGAGCCAGCGAAGAGACGCGACGACGAGCTCCACCAACAGCAGAGACAAACACTAAAACAAGTCAGAAAATGTAATAACAGCTCTATGGATAGCTTAATCTACACGTAAAAAAACTAAAAATAATCACATTTGTAGACCTAATCAACATAAGAGAGTCCACTGATAGAAAAATTCCAACTGATTCAAGAACAAGAGATAGTCTCATCAACCAACACACAACTCATCAGAAACAAGAAAAATGACAAAACAAAGATCGATCAATTCAAAAAGAACTTCATGTTACATTACAATAACCAATTTAAACTCTTTTTAACAAGCTTTACAGCTACGCCTGCAATTTCCAGGGAGCTCTGGAGTTCCCACCATATACTCTGGATTCTTTGCGCATTCTCCAAGCACTGCCCATCTTTCACAGCTCTCGTTTACATCCGCACAGCTACCGTCATGTGTCACAATCTTATCGAACGAGTCCACGTGGATCCACTTGGTTGCTGACCATTTCTCTCCTTCAATCACAGGACAACCTCCGTGAAGGCTCAAGTGATCTGGGGTTGCGTCTTCGTGGAGGTTGAAGAACAACAATGCATCTCCTTTCTTTGGTTTCACTAAATAACATAACACAGAAAATCAAAACATGTTTTAGAACATTCTTAGAGATAAGAGGAACTTATTATTGAAGTTCTCACCAGCAATTCCTTTCTTGGCACAGTCAGAAAGGTCGTCTTTGTTTACAGAAAGCTTGTGGCGGGAAAACTCCTGCGGACAAAACTTTCATCAGAGAGAACCGAGAACCAATACAGAGTGTCCATTTGTAAAGATGTAAGTGGGAAAGATGATGGTTATAGTATGAATACAAACCATGGCGTCAGGGAAAACAGTTTCTCCACCCTTTGTGACATTGGAAAGATACATGAGCACAGTTGCTATACGGTGTCCACCACGGGCGATGTTGACTTTGTCATGGAAGTAGTCAAAGTGAGCGTCGTATTTTTGACCGTGCTCATATCTCAACACCTGAAGATCTTCTCCATTTTCTGTAACCAGAGAGTGTAAAGGACTTAGAAACAATAACAATAACTTCTGAAAAGAGCTTTCAAGGAACTTGAAAAGAGTTGTGGTGAGGTTTCTTGTTACTTGATTTTCTGAAGCAGATTGAATCACTAATAACTAAACCATTCATGAATGTATTTGTTACCTTTTGGGAGGAATGTCCATGTGGAGAGCTTGTCCTCTATACCAGAAACAATAGGATCCTGTAATTATTCAAAAGAAAGCTTTAGTGCCAAATATAATCCATTACTGATCATATCAGATACAAACAGAAGCAAGAAGTTTTCTTGACTAACATGTAGAAGCAAGCAAACAATAATACAAAGATCCAGGAGGTTTTATTCATAAACATGATCTGTGTAACTCAAAATTAATCTAATTTGTGTGTGAACTCTTATAGGTTTGAATTAGAGCTCTAATTCATCAGACATGGAACTTTTCAGATCCATTATTAACAGGATCAACATCAGAGATTTAAAGCCGATTTTATATAATAATAATAATCAAAAGACCAATGCCTATGAGATCAAAGAAAGAACATGTTACCTTTCCTTTGGAGATAAACGTGCCGGAGCTGGTCCTAACATCACTGACTTGACTCTCTCCATTGTCGTTATCAGCAACCGCAGATCTCTGAAGATTCTCTTTCGCCTTTTGTCCGAAACAAAAAATGAAATTAGCAGAAAATGTTTCAAAATTGAGCTCAGATATTGAATAACACGAGAACTTACAAGGGAGATCAAATGATCACATTCCAAGTCAGTTAAAAAACCTTCATACACAAATGCCCTGAACATTAAAAAAATATTCAAAATTAAAGCACAAATTTTGCAAATTTTTACTCGAGGATTGAGGAAAAGCAAACCTGGGTTTTGAAGAAACTTGTTTGACTTTAGAAGGGTTGATGATAGAACTTGGAGAACTAATCAGAGAAGTAGATGACTGAAGCAGGACAAGAAAGACTGCGACGAGCAGCAACATCAATCCGTGGCGAGACATCGACATTAGCTCTTTGGTCCAGAAGGAAGGAAACGTAGAGAGATTGAAAACTGGGAATGATTTTATTTTTATTTTTTCTAGGAAATTGTTTTATTTTCTAGTCTTCAGAAAATGTCAACGGTCGTGAAAAGTTGATGGCTCTCTACCTAATGAGAGATGGCGGCGACATGCGCACGTCGTTTTGCAATCATGTACTCTTTAAAACGAACAATGTTCATAAAAAATAATTATTTCTTTCCTGGCTGATGCTTTCCCGCGATAAAGCCCATTAAAAACAAAGAGTCAAGGCTTTAATCTATTATAGCCCATTAAAAGGCCCAATAATAAATCTCGTTCGGTTAAATTCGAAACCTTAAAAGCGACGTCGTATATGTAAAAGGTAAAATCATCATCGCCGGAAAAAAACACGACGGAGAAACAAAAAACCCGATTTCGTCTGGTTTACGACTTTAGCCGGCGACTAATGTGAACGAAACAGCTTGAGAAAATCAAGGAAAGTTTACAGAGATGGCGTTTAAACCTTTCGGAAAAGATGTGGGACCCGCTATGAGCTCCAAACCGTCGCCGTTTACAACGTTCGGCGTTTCTGATCCTACTCAATCCACCAGGTGTGTGTTCTTCGCTTCCGTATAGCTATGCCACTATCGTTGAGGTTTTTCTAGATTGATCGATCTATTATGCTCTAAAAGTGTTTAGGATCACGCGAAAAGTGACGAGTAGTATCTTTGAATTTTCTATGAAATTGTGTGTTTAATATCACTTAGGCAGCTCTAAGCTTCGGATTTTGAAGCTCATTTGATTAATTTTGCGAATGTAATTTGTGAATTGGCGATTTTGCTTGTAGCGATTCTATGATTCAACCACCAGCGTCGTCTCAGAACCATTCAGGATATGGAGGACAGTATTTTGGACCACGTGGAGGAATTCAAAGGTTAGATAAAACCTAGCTCTACAGCTTCTATTTTTTTTATATGCTAGAGTGTTATGTTATTCATGTGCTATGAGGTTTTTTTTGTAAGTTCTTTGATTTTCTATTTCCTTTACATTCTAACCTGCGTATTGGAAACTTTTTGCTTGTAGTGGTTCTCCAATCCAGCGAGCACCGTCTCCTTCGGCTTTTCAAAATCCTTCACCTTTTGTAGGGCAACCTTACCGACCAGGTGGGGTACAAAGGTTAGATTATTCTTAACTGAATGGTTTTATCTTCTTCCATTGATCATCTTTCAGTTTTATGTGCCTGGTGATGATGTGAGGTGTGGTTATTTGTTTTATTTTTTTTTCCTTGGTTTAGATTCTAGCCTAAATTGTTTTGTTTTTACTTGCGGTAGTCCTCCATTGAATCGAACATCACCTCCTGTGGCTTTTCAAAATCCCTCACACTCTCCAGGACAACCTTACCGACCTGGTGGAATTCAGAGGTTAGTTTCTTACTCGTATGGGTTCTTTTTTTCCCCTCCTTATATGCGTCGGGATAGTTCTGATCTGGAACAGCTGGTGATGGGAGGGATTAAACAAGTCATATACTTTCTTGGTAAGAGTTTTGCTTGAGTATATTGAATGGAACAGTTGAATGCTATGTTTTCAGGAGATCAGGACCTGTCAGTGGAATACAATGGGGTTCAGATTCTTTTCCACGTCCAAGCCCTTCTGTGAGAGCTTCCCAATTTCCTGGAGTTCAGAGGTAAAAGTGTACGTGTGATATTTTCGACTTAGAAGACTGTCATATTCCACAGCTTGGCAGCAGTGTTGATATTCAAATGCTTTCAGTTTTCTGTAATAGAAAAAATAGGAGTAGGAAAAAGAAAGCAGGGTTTGGCGGAGTGCTATAGGTTTCTCTGCTAACCTATATGTCTAATAGATAAGGGCTTACTATGGCAGGGAAAAATCCAGCGAGATCGTGTCACCGGATTTGGCTTGTAGACTTTATGAATAAGCTGTTCGATTGTTTTTGATGAGTTCCCTGAATCTCACCTGCTTCGATTTTTCCTTGCAGGCCTACTTTAAATCCTCAGTTTGGGCATGATGAATCAAGGAATTTCCTGAAGGATCATAGTGAGCATAGTCTAGCCTCGTCTCCAGCTAGTACATCACACATTCTTTCCAGAAGTGGAACTGATGTTGCTGAGATTGGTCGATCACAAGATTCAAAAAGGAAAAGGTTGTTTATGCCATCTTTAAATGAAGGCCATTCTGCCATCAGGCTCTTTCTTCAATAGACATTCTGTCTATTCTGTAGCACTATCATGTCTTTGGCTTTCTTAACATTTGTCCGTTTACGAGAGTTTGTACAGCTACTTTGTTGTGCGTTATGTACTGGTCTTTTCAGTTTCAAAAGTTTATGTGTGGTTATGGTGTTAGAAAATGAATTTCCATACGCATGGCTGTGATGTTTAGTGATATCATGATTTTGATGTAACTAATTTCAATAAAAATCCTCACTTTTATTGCAGTCATTCAGATCTTCTTCCTGATCGAAGTTTAGGGCTTTCTCAAAGAAATCATTCGCCGGGATCAGGTTTTGGGAATGGCAGTTTGGTAGATGATTTCCAGCAGCCATCTAGTCAAACTTGGATGTAAGCTTTTTATCCTCCTGTCAGTGTCATAAATTTTTTGGTCTATCTCTCCCTTTTTTGCTGTTGGTAAAAAAGATGTCATGAAATATCTCACATGTGTTATTATAGATAGTAATTTGAAACGTGCATGTGTCTTTTCTTCCTTGAACTCTATACTGATTATAAGTCTGTCGTCTCACTGACTTCTGAAACTTGCGTCCTGACACATTTTCTCATGTTTTCGTAGACGCTCTCCATCTTCCGCGGACAATAATCCGGTGAGGTCGAGGATCAATCCCAATCGGTTGATCCATCAGGAACAAATCCCAAGCTCTCCATTGCCATTTGCACATGAAGCAGCTGAAATTCAGGAAGCTACAAAAAGAAACTCTTCGGCTCGAGCACATTCTCATAAACCTCTTTATGACAACCCTGTATTTCCTCAACATGATTCTCGAAGGTAGACAGCATGATCACTCACTATATGTTGTAAGCTTATTATTTTTGTTGCGTCCTACATGTACTTCTTATGAATTACCGGGGATTCATAATACAGAATAGAGTTGCAATCCTAATAAACTTTATATTTAGCAAGTCGGAGTATGACCATACTTACCTTAAGTTTAAATGGTTGCGTGAAAAAGATTATACTGCTAGCCTGTGAAGTCATGCTTATGTCTCTTGCAGCTTTATCTTTAGTGCACTTGCAACAAATGTGGTTTTTCTTTCTGGCTGAATGTGCCTTAAACTTGCTCTTAGTTAAGCATGCTGTTTGAATGATAGGTCATCAACATCTCCTCCTGCGTCAGGCACAAAGTCATTTATGCTTTCAAGAAGCTCAGATTCCCAATTTCCTGGGCACCCCTCCTCTGTTAATAATTTTAGTTATGCGGTGAAGACAAGTGGTTCACCTGCAACAAAAAGGACGAGATCTCCACCTTTTGTGGATGACGATATCCAGGGAAACTCTTTTTCTTCTGTAAGCTGTACTGAAGGGTAAATTAAACCACACAGTACTGACTATTTGTATTAATATGTGAACCAGTTCTTAAGTTTTCTGAGCTTTTTTTCGTTTTTTACAGAGAAGAGCAAGCCAGGGCAAAGAGACTGGCCCGCTTCAAGGGTGAACTGGACCCTGTTCCAGCCCGACCTGTTGATACTCAACTTGCTAAATCAGCTGTAAATAAAACTGTGAAGCCTCTGGACAACAAACATACATTCCATTCACAGGAATCAAATAGGGATGCCCTCAAGGGAGATGCTTTGTTTGATTTTGAAAGCTCGGAGCAGCCCTCTCTTATCGTTGGATTATGCCCTGACATGTGTCCTGGTAAGCATAGCTAAAGACATGCTTATAAAAGGACAACTGAGTGTATGATCTTTGGTTTATTTAATTTGATTAAAAATGAAGTGAGTTACCAACAATTGATGTCTAGTTCGAGTGAGTAATGTGATTGCAGAACAAATATATTGAGGATTTTTTTTTTCATCTTCCCAGAGTCAGAACGGGGTGAGCGTGAAAGGAAGGGTGACTTGGACCATTATGAGCGTGTAGATGGAGATAGGAATCAGACGAGCAAATCCCTTGCTGTGAAGAAAGTAAGTGTACCCTTTTCAATTCGATTAAACGTCAGATTCTTACTTAAGATGACATATGCTAGACCACCCATTCACTGTGTCTTATATCTTTCTTGGAATAGTATACCAGGACGGCGGAGCGAGAAGCCATTTTGATACGACCCATGCCAATCCTGCAGAATACTATGGAATATTTGCTGAGTTTGCTAGACCGCCCTTACAATGAAAACTTTCTTGGCATGTATAATTTCCTATGGGATAGGATGAGAGCTATCCGAATGGATCTAAGAATGCAACATATTTTCAACCGAGAAACTATTACTTTGCTGGAGCAAATGGTCTGTGATTTCTGATCTTATAGAAAGCCCATTAACCACGATGATAAGCGATATTCTGCTTTGAGTGTGTGTTTCTTACTATTGATTTCCTTGTTACAGATAAGACTTCACATCATTGCAATGCATGAGCTATGTGAATATACTAAAGGAGAGGGTTTTTCGGAGGGGTTTGATGCACACCTGAATATTGAGCAGATGAACAAGACATCCGTTGAGTTGTTCCAAATGTATGATGATCACAGGAAGAGAGGAATAACTATTGCTACAGAAAAAGAGTTCCGTGGCTATTATGCTCTTCTCAAACTCGACAAGCACCCTGGCTATAAGGTAAGTATTTTGGGTGAAATTTGCGGTGAAACTTTTTTTGCTAAGTTCTTAAACTTGACTTTAAATTCTTCCTGTTAGGTTGAACCGTCTGAGCTTTCTCTTGATCTTGCCAACATGACTCCAGAAATAAGGCAAACTTCAGAAGTTCTCTTTGCCCGCAGTGTAGCCAGGTAGTTCCTTGAACTTGTTTTTGTGTTCGTTTGTTAATGTGATCTAAGTACTGAAAGCATTTTTGCAATTACAGAGCTTGTAGAACTGGCAACTTCATTGCCTTCTTTCGCCTTGCACGAAAAGCAAGTTATCTTCAAGCATGTCTGATGCATGCTCATTTTTCGAAGGTAAGCGCTTATTTGTGGTGTAGGTTTAAAAGCTATTATTCTTACCGTGTTAGTGTGTGGTTAATTTACCGAGATCTGAGATTTATTATGTTTCATCAGCTAAGAACTCAGGCACTTGCTTCTCTGCACGCTAGTCTCCAAAATAATCAGGGTATCCCAGTTTCAGATGTGTCAAAGTGGATAGGGATGGAGGTAATTTTCCATCGATTTTCTACTTGGCGTATCCCTTTCGTGGTCCATCACAGAGAAATTGCTAGATGTCTTACATTTTTGTTCCGGTGATGGAATACAGGAAGAGGACATAGAAGCCCTGTTGGAGTACCATGGATTTTCAATAAAAGAGTTTGAAGAGCCATACATGGTAAAGGAAGACCTATTTCTCCATGCTGATAAGGACTATAAAACAAAATGCTCGAAACTTGTTCACATGAAAAAGTCAAGAACCATTGTGGAAGATGTTTCTGCTCCCTCTATTGCAGAAGATGTTTCTGCTCCCTCTATTGCAGAAGATGTTTCTGCTCCCTCTCCGTTGTCATCCTTGCCGACAGAAGCAAATAAAGGATATCAACAGGAAAGGCCGTTTGCCCAAAGTCTTAAGAAACAAACATCAGTGCGACTAGTTGATAAAGAAATGACCGATTCCACGACTTCCCTCTTACTTGAGGAAGACAAGCCAGTGAGAACATCTGTAATAAATCCAGTGCGGTCATCTGATGTAAAACCAGCAGTGGATCAACAGAAACGAAATGACCTTACGCCGTCTGGTGAATTTCATTCTCCCCAGAAGTTTTATTCTCCTTTTGGTTTTCATGGATTTCCTCAAGCTGAATCCTCGAATTTGAAGAGACAACCTAATGGCAGCCATACTAGTATATCTCCTGCAGAAATTAAATCTCCATTTGTAGAGCATATGCAAACGAATATTGTGCCTGGACCTATTTTGCAACAAAGTCTATTTGCAGGGCATATGCAAACGAATCTTGTGCCTGGCCCTACTTTGCAACAAAGTCCAATGTCTATGCCTATGGAGAGTGTGCCTGTAACTACCATTTCAGAGTCTCCAACGAGTGTAGAAAAGATATCTCCTTTGGAAGAATCAGTACCCGAAGCTGCGATGACTGTTACCTTGGAAGAGGGTTTCCATGACATTGAACAGGAAGACGAGAATGGAGACGGAGACATCACAAATCAGTATGACGAGGAAGTGGCGAAGGCAAAACTCAAGTTGATCATAAGGTCTACCATCTCATGCAAGCTGATACTTGGTTTAGGTTACTTTTTGTTTAACTCATCTTTTCTAAATCTTCACAGATTATGGAAGCGGTGGTCTTTACGTCAAAGTGAATTGCGGGAGCGTCGACAGTTAGCTGCAGCAGCTGCTCTGAATTCTCTAACCCTGGGCACTCCTATCAGACTCAGCAAAACTGATGTAAGTTTGCTTCATTGGTCTTTTTGTCAAGGAAGCAATAAAAAGTCTTTAAGGCATTTACTATTGAGGTTGGTAGTCTAATTTCGGTTCTAGCTTCATACACAGCAATCGAAGACGTGTGGTGAGTTTGACATTGATCAAGCGATGAAGAGGAGATTTGAAGAACGTGAAAAATCATGGTCAAGGCTGAATATTTCAGATGTGGTAGCTGATATATTAGTCGAAAGGAATCCAGACTCAAAATGCATATGGTGGAAGGTCATCTTATGTACTCAGATTAAATCAGTTAACTCATCAAGTCAAGATACACATTCAGCAGCCAGTCGATGGGTATCATCAAAGCTTATCCCTCTCACAGAGCATAGTATCTCCGATGATAATCTGGTGTTTTCAGCTCCCGGTGTGTCGTTATGGAATAAATGGGTTGCAAGTGGGTATGATTCTGATTTCAGATGCTGTCTCTCAGTAGCTAGAGATGTGGAAGCTGAAAATGATCTTTGTGAAAGCACACGTGGTGCAAGTGCAGTTCTCTTCCTTGCATCTAAAGGCTTACCTATGAATTACCAGAGAGAACATCTTAACCGCATTCTTGAATCAGTACCAAACGGTTCACTCCTTCCCCTTCTCGTTCTAATCAGCTCAAGCAATGGGGAAAGCGTGGATCCTGATACAAATCTCGTCTCTGAACTAGGCCTCCATGATATTGACAAATCAAAGATATCAAGCTTCACCATCGTTTCTATTGCTAATAAGTCCCAGAAGGGACAGGAAGTTCATTTTTTCAGCGATTCACGGCTAAGAGATGGGCTTAAATGGCTTGCGGGAAATTCACCTCTGCAACCAAATTTTCATCACGTTAAACCGCGGGAACTTGTTCTGATGCATTATAGTTCTTCACTGGAGTCGCTTAAGCAGAGGCCTGATCAGGAAGTTGGTCCTAACATGTGCATATCAGCCTTCAACGAGGCATTGGAAACATCAAAAAGGAACATCACTTCTGCTGCTGAAGCAAATCCGATCTGTTGGCCTGGCCCTGAGACAATGTTGCTCGAGAATAATAGAAAAGAACATTTAATGGTGAAGAGTTATCTACCCAACCTGGACTGGAGCAGTTCAGAGAGCATCGAACAACTCAACTCCATACTCGAGAACTGTAAGCTTCCATATTTTGAAGATGATTTGACATGGTTAACCCTAGGATGTGCTTCTGGTGCTGAGATAGAGAACTATACGCAACGACTCGAGGGATGCTTAGTTGAGTACTTGACACAGACAAGCAATCTTATGGGAGACTCATTAGCCAGGAAAGAAGCAGGAGTAATGCTACAAAGAAACACTAGACTCGAACTTCATAACTCAAGCTACTACCATATCATCCCGAGATGGATCGGAATCTTCCAGAGAATCTTCAACTGGCGGATAATGGGTGTGCTAGATTCATCGTCTTCCTCAGCTTACGTACTGAAGTCTGATCTCACCATGTCAGCTTCAAGCCACACTGACAAGTTCCTGTTTGAAGATGCGACATACCAATCTTCTCGTCCATTGCTTCACGAAATGGTTCAAATCAGCTGCACCCCCTTGAAGTCATCTCCTCCATGTAATCACAAACCCAAGAGAGATGAACAAGTAGAATCGCTTCAGACGGAAAGGCTTGTTGATGATGATCATAGAGACATAGATGAGTCAATGTTGGAGAAGAGTAGAGAAGCTTCAAGAAGGGTTGATATGATGATAACTGAGGATGAGGAGTTAGCTGATGAAACAGAGAGCTCATGGAGGAGTGAAGGAAAAGAAGTGACGGTGAAGGATAGAGAAAGTGAGAGATTAAATGAATTGTTGGAGAAGTGTTACTTGGTACAGAACAGCATAGCTGAGAAGCTCTGCATTTACTTTTAAAACTTTATTTCGTTACCTTGCTATATATGATGAATTGTTACATAGAAAGAGTGCATAAGAAACAATCATCATCATCATTTATTACACAGGCATTTGATCTGTACAATGATAATCTTTCACAAATTCATCGTTTCCGTTAATAAATTAAATGTATCTGTTGGCCCTCCTTACCGAAAGATATAGTTCTATTTATAAGTTAACTGTAGTTTTACTACTGACTAATTGATAATACACTTTAACATACCCAAACGTAAAGGAGGAATCGTTGGACCTAAAGTTAGTGGCCCAAACCTTTACGTGACAGCTACGTTTTGTTTGGTATAATTTAATTTGTTTCCATACAGTGTTATTACTAAAAGAAGCAAGTTGTCTTTCTTTAGCCGCCAGTAGCACATGCAGGCGCGAAATTCTTGCACCGCAAGCAAGTTGACTGGATAACATACATATTTTTCTTTCTTTTTTGTAACACAACATACATATTTTTCTATTCTCAAAGAAACATTACGTATCTCTTTTTTTTTAATTCTTGAAATGTGGAGTGAGTATCACACACTTTCTTAACTAGTTCAGTTGGTATGATGATGTTATCAAAAGATGGCTACCAAAATAAGTAAAGAGATGTGAATCATCTAGCTCTATTTTGAGATGGATTTACATAAGAACATTTGTTTTTCTTTTTTCTCGAACTATATGAAAACCATATGCTTTACATTTTTAGAAGAAAGTTGTTATTCTAAATTTAGAACTCTCTTAAAAAAAAAAAACCGCCGGCGCAATCAACTAAAAGAAACGACAGCAAAGCAAATTGATCAACACGATCTAAAAAATCTCCCCAATTTAATTAGACAACAGACTTCTCCTCTTCCCTATTTCAACATGAATTAAATAGATATTTTTGAGACAAAGATTTTGTGGGAAACACTCCGAACTTCAATCTCTCCCTCATATTCCTACTGCTAATAAAACAAGCATCTCCGCAAATCCTTTATTCTAGCCCCTCCCTACCAATGGCTCTATTAACTATTCATCTTTTTAAATTGTAATAAACCTTTTTTTTCAAACCAAAAAATAAAAATAAAAGACTTAACCTGAGAATTAGGTTCAGGATGGCCTCAAGGAGCCGCTCATACACACAACTCCTAGGCCTCCTGTCCTTTAACCTCCTCTTGTTCACAACCTCCACAACCGCGGTTCGTGTTGGAGTCATTCTCCATAAGCCTTCTGCTCCAACCCTCCCTGTATTTAGAGAAGCCCCAGCTTTCAGAAACGGTGATCAATGTGATGAGGCTGATAAGATTCATATAGCCATGACTCTTGACACAAACTACCTCCGTGGAACAATGGCTGCTGTCTTGTCTCTCCTACAACATTCAACCTGTCCTGAAAACCTCTCTTTTCATTTCCTCTCCCTTCCTCATTTCGAAAACGACCTCTTCTCCAGCATCAAATCAACTTTTCCTTACCTGAACTTCAAGATTTATACGTTCGATCCAAACCTAGTCCGCAGCAAAATCTCTAAATCCATCAGACAAGCCCTAGACCAGCCTCTAAACTACGCGAGAATCTACCTCGCGGATATCATTCCCACCAGCGTCGACCGGATCATATACCTAGACTCAGACCTCGTCGTGGTCGATGACATAGAGAAGCTATGGCATGTAGAAATGGAAGGTAAAGTCGTGGCAGCTCCCGAGTACTGCCACGCAAACTTCACATACTATTTCACCAAAGCTTTTTGGTCGGACCCGGAACTAGTCAAAGTCCTTGAAGGCAAACGCCCGTGTTATTTTAACACGGGCGTTATGGTCGTGGACGTTGGTAAATGGAGGAGAGGGATGTACACACAGAAGGTAGAAGAGTGGATGACTGTTCAGAAGCAGAAGAGGATATACCATTTAGGATCATTGCCTCCGTTCTTGCTGATATTCGCCGGAGATATAAAAGCTGTTGATCACCGGTGGAACCAGCATGGTCTAGGAGGGGATAACATTGAAGGGAAATGTAGAACGTTGCATCCAGGTCCGATAAGTCTTCTTCATTGGAGTGGGAAAGGTAAGCCATGGTTGAGATTAGATTCAAGAAAGCCTTGTATTGTTGATCATCTTTGGGCTCCGTATGATTTGTACCGTTCATCAAGACATTCATTAGAAGAGTAGAGGCAAACAAAATATAATGGCACAATATATACTAGGAGATGGAGATGGAGACGATCCAGGCAGGGTGCTATCGAAGAGAGCGGGAAAAAAACAAGTGTAGCACAAAAAAAAAAAGAGAAATCAAGAGAGAGTTAATTTTGTAACACACACTGGTAATGCAAAAAGAAAGAAAGAAAGACATGCATTGAGCTTGGTAGTGAGAATCATGCATCATCATCTTTTTTTGCTGTCATTGGTTTCATGATTATTTGGGTCGTCTCTTTGGTTCGACGTGTAAAATGTATATAAGGGTAGTATTACTGCAAAGAAATGGAGGATTAAATTCATTCTTTATTGATTCAGATGACTCTAGTATGTGATTCTATTAGAAAGTACCGTTAAAGGGTCATTATTCATATATAAATCTGCATCTCGCCCTCAAGCCCTAATAAAACCTTGAGACGACTGAATAAATACTACCAGGATAAGATCACAAAAGTCTGGTTTATGTGTCATCATTATACGGAATGTTATAAAATTCAATACCATATAACTTTTAAAAGATGACATCAAAGATATTTAAAAAATTGCTAACTGTCTGCTTTTTGGTAGGTGGCAGGGGACAATGGTCCCCTACTTTTTATTTAAAATCAAAAACTCACTAAAAGCAACATATTGTCTCAAAGTGCAATGGAACGAAAACAGAATTTTCTATATTTTGTCTTATTTAAATTCAAGTGTATTCCTTTTAGTTATGGAGCTACAATACATCATATTAATGAATTATTCATTAATGAAAACATGTACAATAGTGTCCATAGTCTCCTCCCTCATGGGGTGCATCCCTACAACTGCAGTTCCTACCATAGTAGTCGTTTCCTTCCTCGTTGAGAACTTCGTAAAAGCATTGCTTAGAAGCTATGACTGGATCTTCATGACATATCCCCTTCGTTAAGTGGACAACAATTTCAGGGGCCTTACCTCTTCCCTCCACTATTTTATATATCAACAACAAACGATTAGCTGGTGGATAAGAAAATTGGTAATGCAATAAATACAAGTTTGTATAAAACGTTTTCCATCACAATGATTTTTATTAAATTACGTGAGTAACCAATGGAAACCAATATATATTTATATTACCTTGTGTATTATGCAACACGAAGAACATAAGAACACAAGAAACCACAAACCAAGTAGCAGATTTCATGATTCAAAAAATTAATTAATGACTTTTATGCTTTTTTGTGTGAATTGTTTTGTTTTGTTCGTACTGAATATTTTCTCATCACCATTGTTTGTTTATATATAGGGAGACACAAAGATATTTTCCATCCTTAGTCATTAAAAGACAATAGAATTATATTTGACCAAATTAATTAAGAGTCAAAAGAAAAGTATTGATTATAATAATGCAAAACATTTTTAGGTAATAAATATCTTTATGAATTCATATCACATACTCTATCATTTTAACATTTTTACACAGATTAAGAAAGAGATTAAAAAGTATTTAAATTGTTATTAGTTACACATATTTCACCAATAGTATTTGAGACAAATACAATTATTTGTAAGATCAATGCAGTTTATAATTAATGTTAAGTTGAATTAAATATAACTTGCATTAAAATTCTAAAATGACATTTTTATGTAACAAAAAAATATTAGAATGATATTTATTATGAAAGAGAAAATATATATATTCTAGTAATAATTATATATAGATACTGATCTAGGATTCTAAAGAATGAATATTCTATAATAAAATATAATCTTAGATACATTTCATTTAAATTAAAGAATTAACTACTCTAACAAACTTTTTGAATGAAATGGATTTGGAAAGACTTTTTTTTTAACTCAAACCAATAGCAATAAGGTAAGAAATTATCAAAACAATAAAAACCAATCTTTAAAAACATTATAACAATAATAATGAACTGTACTAAAATTTTAATAATCAAGAACCAATAACTATTTCTTTTGGAAGCAGCGAGTATATACTTTCACGAATCAATATTCCAAAAAAATTGTGTTTCCATTTGCACAGAGGCAACTGAAAAAATTAGGTGCTCGACGCGGGCTGGTGTTGAAGACATGCTCAAAGAGATGAAAAGAAAAGTGAAATTTTTTATTATAGATTTTTCATCATTTTCTTTCTTGGTTATTCTTTGATACTTCCGGCAAAAACTCATTAGGCTTTTACCTGATATTTTGTTGGATGACATACTGCCAAAGCTGATGACGTCAACTGGCTCCTATGAAGATATATATGTTCAGGAAAGAGATATCAAAGTATTCACATCTGTTGAGATATTTCCCAAAACATTGAAGTTCAACAACAGTTAGTTATTGTTGCAAATTCAGGTCTACCTCTTTTGTATATTCTTCTAGCAGCACTTTATTTTTCACTATGGTTTTGGTCCTTTTTGTGATAAACAAAGAGCGTATGGTGAGGCACTGACGAAGAATATTTATTAGCTTCTACTGGAACTCAGATGTTCATGTTTTACTGCTAGTAGAAACTGACTACTCATAATGGTGGTTTCTTTCCTTGGTTATAGGCTCAAAAGGAAGAATTCTCAACTCATTTAATCTTGAAGATTACAAAGGTGAGCAAGCAGCTACTGTCTTGCATGAACTCTATAAATGTTCTAATAACTATAATGGGTGCAAAGTAGTTTGTGTTTAGCATTTTGTATGTTGGCTGAAGTGAAATCCATGATAAAACCAGTTTACATTCTGACTAACGAAATGGGATTTAATGTATATTATTATAAAATCCATGATAAAACCAGTTTATTATATTTAAAGATCACAATACACTATGAAATGGTTGGATATTGATGATGTATTCATTCTATTTTTCTAACTCAACAAATATTTTTCTTGGGTTTATTTGTGCCTAACAATCATCTTCCACGTGTTAAAAGTAGCTAGTAAATATTTTAGAAAAATAATAAAAATTAGTAACTAATTATTATATAAAGTTCACAATACACTATGAAATGGTTGGATATTGATGATGTATTCATTCTACAAAATTCTAATTAATTTTTGTTGTGGTAAATCATATATGTTTTGTTTATATAAAGTATAATTTACATCAAATTATCTATGAACTACTGTCGTTAAATAAAAAAAATTTAATTATTATACATGTTAATAGATAATAAAATGTTTGCCTTTATTTATATAGCATGGTTTAACTGTATTCTGTTAAACTATCTCAATGAAATCAAAATATATTACTATTATATAAATATAATCAAATACACAATTTAATTATGCTTTCCAAAAACTAGTAATTCTAGAAAAATAAATAAGACACATGTACTGACAATGATAATTTAAAAGAATATATAATTTCAAATTTTAGAACGCAATACCATATAATATTTAAAAATGACATAAAAGATATTAAAATTTTTGCTAACTGTCTCAAAGTGCTATGGAACGAAAACATAATTTTATATATTTTGCCTTATTTAAATTTAAGTGAAGTGTGCATTATTTCAAGGGTTTATTATATATGTACCCGCACCATGGATTAATATCTAATTTTTATTAATTACTAGGGTTGGTCCACTCTATATGCGGGATACATTTTATTTGTGATTTAATTATTATTGTTTTGTATAATTTTATCATTTGTATTTTTGGTATGCATTCGCAAAGAGATGTGTATGTTAAGGTTTTTAATCATTTAGAAAATGGTGTACATTATATCTCTATTTTCACTCATTAGAGGCTCAATTAAACATGTGAATACATATATAAGAAGTACGAAGGCCATCAAATTATGAGGTTTAGAATGTCACGTGTCAGTTTCTCTTGTATCTAATTGATGATGTGTATTGAATGAGAAATAAGAGAACTCTTCTATTATTATTGTTTTGTATAATTTTATCATTTGTATTTTTGGTATATATTCACAAGAGATGTGTATAATAATGATTTTTATCATTTAGAAAGTGGTGTACATTATATCCCTATTTTCACTCATTACAGGTCCAATTAAACATATGAATGCATATATAAGAAGTACGAAGTCCATCAAATTATGAGGTTTAGAATGTCATGTGTCGGCTTCTCTTATATCTAACTGATAACATGTATTGAATGAGAAATGAGAGAACTCTTCTTTATAATAATAGATATTTCCTTTTAGTTAGGAGATACAATACATCATATTAATGAACTATTCATTAATGAAAACATGTACAATAGTGTCCGTAGTCTCCTCCCTCATGGGGTGCATCCCTACAACTGCAATTCCTACCATAGTAGTCGTTTCCTTCCTCGTTGAGAACTTCGTAAAAGCATTGCTTGGAAGCTATGACTGGATCTTCATGACATATCCCCTTCGTTAAGTGGACAACAATTTCAGGGGCCTTACCTCTTCCCTCCACTATTTTATATATCAACAACAAACGATTAGCTGGTGGATAAGAAAATTGATAATGCAATAAATACAAGTTTGTATAAAACGTTTTCCATCACAATGTTTTTTTAATTGCGTGAGTAACCAATGGAAACCAATATATATTACCTTGTGTATTATGCAACACGAAGAACATAAGAACACATGAAACCACAAACCAAGTAGCAGATTTCATGATTCAAAATTTAATTAATGACTTTTATGCTTTTTTGTGTGAATTGTTTTGTTTTGTTCGTACTGAATATTTTCTCATCACCATTGTTTGTATATATATATATGGAGACACAAAGATATTTTGCATCCTTAGTCACTAAAAGAGAATAGAATTAGATTTGGCCAAATTATTGCGCAATTAAGAGTCAAAACAAAAAATATTTATTACTATAATAATATAATTAAGATAAACATGTCTAGGTAATAAAATTGTTTTCATACTTTTATGAATCCATATCACATACTCCATCTGTTTGTTTAATAAGTGTAACTTTGATATTTTTCATATAGATTAAGAAAGTGATTGAAAAATATTTAAGTTGTCATTAGTTATTTAACCAATAGTATTTGAGTATATAAGATTAATGTAGTTTGTAATTAATTTTAAATTAAAAATAAATATATTTTGTATTGGGATTCTCAAATAATACTGTATATTTTATGCAACAAGAAAAAAATTGTTAGAATGATACTTTTTTATTATGAAATAGAAAGAATATGTAATCTAGTATTAATTACATATAAATTTTGATCTGATATTTTAAAGTGTGAATATTCTATAATCAAATAGTAATTTACAATACATTTAATTAAATAAAATTATTAACTATAAACACTTTTTTGAATGAAATAGATTTGAAAAGATTTTTTCTTAAAAACTCAAACCAAAAACAATAAGGTTAATAAATTTCAAAACAATCAATTTTAAAAAAATTCTAACCAATAATAATGAATTGTAAAGATTTTAAGAATCAAGAACCAATAACTAAAAAAAAATCAAAAAATTCTAAAAAGGTCATATACTAATTTCGTTAATTTCCAAGTTTTGGGTTTGATCTCGGTTTTCTTAAACCGATACACTCCTAATTTTCCCGGTTAGTCAAACCGTGCATCATTAGCGTATGTATGAAGAAATGGATTAAATTGATAATTTCCTTAGTTACTGTCTGATTATGTAATTTCCAGAAACTTCTCATCTCTTCTTCCTTGAGCACACAAACAAGCAACAGAGGAAGATAGTCAAATCACACACCAAAAAAAAAAAAAAAAAAAATCTCTGAAATCATAACTATGTCGTGCTTAGCTTGTTGCTGTGCCTCGGCGACGTGTGGGTTGTGCTCTTCGGTGGCTTCCGGAATCTCGAGGAAATCGGCGAGGATCGCTTATTGTGGTCTCTTCGGTGCCTCCCTTGTCGTCTCTTGGATCCTCCGCGAGACCTCTGCTCCGCTCCTCGAGAAATTCTCTTGTACGATTCTTCAATTCTCCATCTGGGTTTCTAGAAAGTAGGATCCTTTTAGCTTGATTGGAATTGAAATCATCAATATCAAAATTAGGGTTTCTCTGTTTTTGTTCAGCTCTTTCTGTTAGAAATTTTGTTTCTTTTTATAAGAAAACATTGTCTAATGATGTGAATCTCTGTTTGACGATTAGGGATAAACACTTCGGATTCGTATACTAAAGAATGGTATCAGCAGCAAGCTGTTCTTCGTGTGAGCTTTGGGAATTTTCTCTTTTTTGCGATTTACGCTTTGATCATGATTGGTGTTAAA